TCCAATTTTTTTCAATCATGTTTTGTAGCTTTTAATAGATATGTTTGCTTAATGTGGCATTGCTTGGCACTCATTGCTTTTGCTCAATGTTTAACTTTATACTGCATCAAAAGGGAATTTTTAGTTTAATAGTGCTTCTTTATTTGTAAGTGGGGTGTTACATTTGGTGCCCCTCTTTCTCTCTGTCCTTCAAACTATGACTTCCGGGATCGATTCGCTTTTCGGGGTTTTGTGTATATAAAGACAACTTGATTACACATGGGTTTGTACGCTTAATGTTTAAAGCAAACTTTTTTAGTCCATAATGTATTTAATCATCCTCTCCTTCTCTCTCTCTCTCTAACTATTATTTTGCTATGATGTTGCTTTATGGATTTGTAGGTAGTTTTACGAATAATGTGTTTCTCCCTCTCTCTGGTTGGTAGGATGTTATTTTCTAAATGTTCATTTGGGACAATGTTGATGGCACTTAGTGATGGAAAAAGCATTGGAATATGGTTTTCCCCGTGTTTAAGCATCATTTACAGCAAAATTGCTTTGTAGGATTCCAATATCTTTATTCTTTCTTTCTTTTATTTTTCTGGTTTTTGTTTTTTGGGGTTATGGGGGATGTATGATACAGAGTGAAAATGTTTTACACTGTAGTTCAATCTCTTGTCACATTTGGAACGTGAAATACCGACATTTTTGGGTTCCACGTCTAGGTGAATGCTTTTAAAGAATTCGATGCTCATGTCAGGGGTCCATCTTTCTCAGCTTCCTTGCTCACTTAACCTCATTTGAAGTGTTGTGTGCACAAGTCATAGTAACAGTAAACTATTCAAGCCTAGTAATTTTCTGGATAATACATGTTGTGGTAATACAAGCAACTAGAAATTTTTGTCATGAATAAAATGATTATACCCGTTTGACAATGTTTGTGTTTTGAGGCTATCAAGATGTGATGTGAGGGGATGTAGTCAGGAATGAATCTGTTACACTGCTTCTGGCTGAGTTTCTTTCAGGACATTTTCTCCATACTTGAGTTGTTTCAGTTCTGCTCTATCATTTTTTTCAAGTGTGAGCTTGGCTAATTTTGTAGGGAACTCGGCTTGGAAGTTCAGATCCGAAGGGATGCTTCAGTGAGTAGTAGTCATTTCCTTTTTTTTCATATCTTCACCTGATTGTGAAGCATTGTGTGTATCATACCTTTATGTTTACATTTACCGGAAAAGTTTACCCATATGTGTATTTATACTTATATTTTAGACATTGGGCTTCCATCTGGAAAGTCACTCTTTCAACTCCAAGCTGAGCGGATTTTGTGTGTCCAAAGACTAGCTGCTCAAGCTACAAATGAGGGTATGTTTCATTGCAAGAGGTTCTTTATGGTCTCAAGTAATTTGGGTTTTCATACTAATTGCTATGTTATTCAGGTAACGCTGCTTCACTGCAAATACATTGGTATATCATGACCAGCCCATTTACTGATGAATCCACACGGAAATTTTTTGAAAGTCATAAATACTTTGGTCTCGACACTGACCAGGTAAGAAATTTTATATTCTATTTTCTAATATTTTGAGGATAGCCAAGGTGTTTTTGTTTAGTCTGAAGAAAACAGATTTTTTTGCTTACTTTTCTTAAGTTCAAACTTCCTTGATGCAGATAACCTTCTTTCAGCAAGGAACCATACCTTGTGTTTCAAAGGATGGCAGATTTATCATGGAAACTCCGTATAGAGTAAGTCTTCTATTTGAACTGTAACTTATTCAGAAACCTCACTTTGTTTTACCTCCTTCTTTTAAGCCTTTATAAATCTCTTACGTACCTTAGATATACTTAGAATATAACAAAAGGATAATTTTGTTTTACGATATTATATGCATGTGTGTGTGTGTGTGTGTGTAGCACACAGCCACTGTATTTCCCATTCCATAAAGATTGTGATATACTGCCTCCAACAAAAAAGGCCTATGATTAATGCCAGTTTATTCTTCTAAACCAGGTAGCTAAGGCTCCTGATGGGAATGGAGGAGTATATTCAGGTATTTTCCCATTAGATTTGGCTGAGCTTAATTTCCTCAATTTTCCTTAACTGCTGATAAGACATTCCTTAATAAATTGGGCCCATATATTTTATCAGCTTTAAAATCATCAAGATTATTAGAAGATATGGCTACAAGAGGTATTAAATACGTGGATTGCTATGGAGTTGACAATGCACTGGTGAGATTTCTTCCTTTCTGATGGCGTGTGTAGTCTGCAAGGAGGGGAAAAAGAAGGGCAGAAATTGAAATTCCTTCTATTCCATTATTTGGTTGGTCAAGGAAGAAAATACTCATCTTTTTCTCCTCTCATATCTGCCTAAATCAACTGGAGTCTAAATGTTCTTTTTTAGAAAGAGTTGAAAGTTTTTCTTATAATGATTAGGTTGTTGAAAGCAGGTTCGTGTAGCTGATCCAACGTTCTTAGGATATTTCATTGATAAAGGTGTTTCAGCTGCTGCAAAAGTTGTTCGTAAGGTAATTGACAAGAATTTAACTCTCTCTCTCTCTCTCTCTCTCTCTCTCTCTCTCTCTGATACACACACACATACATTTGCTCCTGCTCTTGTATCTGAAGTGTATGGATAGTGATAGGCTGATAGAACTCAAATGATTTGATACGAGCTATGGTGCTTGCTCGGGTAAAGGTATATTACCGTTTTATAGCGGATTTTAATGTATGTGTCAGAGTCTTTCATAGTTCAAAATATCCATTGTGCAGCCTATGCATCTGTAGGGGAGAACTCATCAGAACTAGCTCATCTTCATCCATATGGGTATGGCTATATTGGTAAAGCCAGAAAAAAGATGGACGATATTTTGGACGAATATACCTTTTTTCTGCATAACTATTTTACTGATATCAGTTTTTCACCTGTGTTTGTTACACATGAGTTCCGAAAGTTTGTGTCGTTCCATACATATTGAGTTTTTAGAACTATTCTGATATATCACATTTTGATATACTTCGGGTTTTTGGTTACAGGCATACCCACAAGAAAAGGTTGGTGTGTTTGTACGTCGAGGAAAAGGAGGACCTCTTACTGTGGTTGAATACAGTGAGATGGACTCATCTCTGGCATCTGCAATCAATCAAGAAACTGGACGTCTTCGTTTTTGTTGGAGTAATGTAATGTCTATTGTTACCTCTGATCTCATCATCTACTCTTTCTTTCTTTTGAAATAAATATTTTGTCTTCTAAGTTCTATGCTTTTTTCTTTAGTGGATTGAATTATGAGTTATGGCAGTTTCGTGCTTTCTAAGTTATGGCAACTCTTGCGACATTGTGTTTTTCAGGTGTGTTTGCACATGTTCACCCTAGATTTTCTAAACCAAGTGGCTAATGGCCTTGAGAAGGATAGCATGTCTCTCTCTCTCTCTCTCTCTCTCTCTCTCTCTCTCTCTCTCTCTAATTGCCTTACGTTTGGAATTTCTCAACTTTAGTTTTCGATATTCTAACAATATTATTGTAAACATGCTTTTGTGAATGCAGTTACCATCTCGCTGAGAAGAAAATTTCTTCTATCCATGGACAGTCGATGGGATTCAAACTAGAGCAATTCATATTCGATGCCTTTCCTTATGCACCCTCAACTGCGCTTTTTGAGGTGACTTCATTACCCCCTGTGTCTGCTCTAATCCCAACAATTTCCTTTCTTGACTTTCCAGTGCTAAGGATAGCATTTGTTTGCCAAATATTCAGGTATTGCGTGAAGAAGAGTTTGCACCGGTAAAAAATGCAAACGGGTCAAATTATGACACTCCGGATAGTGCCAAGCTTCTTGTTCTCCGACTCCACGCTCGTTGGGTAGTTGCCGCTGGTGGATTCTTAACACATTCAGTGCCTTTATATGCAACTGGTAACTCACGCACGCACTTCGTTTCTTATTTGCGTTCTAGTATGTGCATAAACGCAAGGGAAGGAAACAAAAATAAGGGAAAGTTGCACTGACACAGTTGATGTTGAATGCAGGTGTGGAGGTGTCACCTCTTTGTTCGTATGCCGGAGAAAACCTCGAAGCTATTTGCCGTGGACGAACCTTCCATGCCCCTTGCGAGATTACATTCTAATCAGTTGACAGAATCGTGGTTTTTTTACCCTTAATTTGTGCGGCTGTATTGTACTAAAACCTAGAGTGTGAGTTGGCTCCGCCTATATCTTCAACGTTTGTGATTGATTAGTGGATGATTTGCTGTGTATAATATGAAGGTCTTTGAGATATATACGTATTTTTGTCATGCTTCAGTTCTATGTCTCGACGGCCACCTTTGTTTGCTTTGTTAAGTTGTGAATTGCTACCCACATAATGGTGGTGGGGTTTCCCTACTAACCAGAGGGCTTAAGGCGTGCTTAATTTGACCTTTCGTGAGGATACTGAATCATTTACCCACTTTCATTCACTCTTGTACATTGAATCACTTTGATGTCCTACTTAGTTACAAGCCTACGTTACCAGGGTTAGCAAAGTTAGTCAATCAACTTTTTTCCCATGTGGGACTCTAGCCTCTTAATTTTTTGACGCATGAAAATAGTCATTGACAGTACAAACTTCTCTCGTTGAGTTTTGAATGCTTAGTTAAGAAATGTTGAACAAATCAAAAGAAAACCAAAAACAAAATTAAGAGGAAAGAGTGTGGAAGGTAAAACGGACAGCGCAAAATTTACTCCCCTTCTATTATTTGGTTGTTTTTATTTTATCTTTGAAAAGCTTGATTAGCCTCAATTGGAACCGATTTTGTAGATGGAAAGTGTTATTGGCATTCCAAAAATCTCATTGCATACTTTTCACAAATGTATTTTTCTTTCCTAATATAGAAAGTTTGGAGTGTAGAATAAGATTTTCAAGTGCTAATAACAATTCCCTTTGTAGATAACCTGGATAATTAGGGTTTTATGAGTTTTGGATTTACGTGGATGCCCTACTAACCGAGGGCTTATAACGTGCTCAATTTGACCTCAAAACAACATGACGAGCCCGTCAACTTTAGCTATTCTTGCGTTGCTAACTTGCTTAGTTACAAGCGTTCCAATGTGGGATATCTAGCATAACAAATGTTTAGCAAAATGTCAAGGATAATCAGCCAATATTCACTCTAACGGACAACGATTGTAACTAGGAATGTAGTTTAATCATGGATTGGAAGAACAGGTTACAATGCATTTTTATCCAGCTACTCCGAGAAGCTTATCGTCCAGTTAAACCATCTCCGTCGAGCCACCGAGTCATTGAAAAGGATGGGCAAGGAAAGCAAGAGCTAGATTCCGACAAAGGTCGCCGGGTATAAGACCAAAACAAAGTGTTTGAAGTTTCGTATTCCCCACGCAGGTTCAGTGATATGGCGATACCCCAAGTAGTGGCTCCATGCCGGCCAATTGATGCTGCAGGAACTTATAAACCGATTCAGTTGTTGTAGCAGCTATACGAACAACCACCCCGATTCCCTGCAGAAAAAAGAACCATTAGCTCGCATTTACCTCAGATGGTTGCGAAATACAGTAGAGAATCATGCAGCATCATATGATCTGTCCAATGTTCTAAAAATAGAAAACTTAATTGAAGCAAGAACATGAAAAGAGAGTTAGATGTGGGTCTTGAACCGCGTCATAGAAATTACTAGATTTATCTTATTGAGGAAATATGAAATGCGCAATATGTGGCAAGCATTGGTTTTACACCAGAACATGAACAGGCCCTTAGCAGCACCTGACCAATATACCTTAGGACCAAAAACACTTGAAGAAGCAATAAAGCTTGGTTTGGCGAAGCGATTATCAGAATGTGTTTTTATTTGGTGACCTGACGCGGTGGAAGGAATGTGTAATTGGTCAGACATAATCCTCTTCACGTTTTCTTGAACTAGGTTCTGAATGTGCTTGATCTTTGGCCTATAATGAAGCAACCGCAAGGTGAAACATTGATTTATTCACGTAATTACTTCCATTCCGTATTAATATGAGTAAATTAAAACCACTGTAAAACATTTGATAAAGGTTAAGGAGAAGATGCAAATGGTCTATGAATCATGAAATACTCACCCCAAGAGTACAACCATTGCAATTACTTGGTAGTCCTGCATTCGTTCTGCAATTGAAGAGATATTTCCACGCTCGAGGTGTACCTGTCCTAAAAACATTGAACCATCTGAGAAGAAGAGGAAGGGAAGACAACAGGACTCGCGCAAGCATTCATTTCTCAAAATCCTAGTGCACTGCGTACAGAGGGATGAAATGAAGGACGAGCAATACATATTACATCACTGGGCATATTCAGGCGTTTAAATTTACCAAGTTGATAAAGGTTGAAATATTGTGCTTAGAGGTTGAAACAGGGCATCCCATCTTTAAATCTAGTCCTCAAACATATAGGGAACCTGAAATATGCAGCTCACAAATTCCCTTGGGGAAAAGAAAACTTATTGGTAGAATTACCATCCCTAAGAACTAAGCATTTGGATGTTTAGACTGGAAACATACAAAAAATGAAATGAAAAGAAAAAGATTACCGCGTCCAGAAACAAAGGTTCATCATCTTCCATAAATATGTGGTTGATGCTCTTGTAAAGATCGAAATCCCATTTTTCTCCACTTTCGTGACGCCCACTGGTAATCCAATCTACAATGACCAAACTTGAGTCGGAAACTACCCTAAAGACTTGTTTCTGAGAGTATCTTGCCGTGGAAAAACATGTAACAGGATCAGGAATGACCGCCAAAAGGGCATTGCTCCCAACTCTTGCCTACTGCACAGAAACGTGATTTCCAGGATTCACATGTAATGTAGTCATTGACAGAAAGCATGAACTAATCCGAACAACACATATTTAGCTTCAACTGCGTGTTAAAAATGTCCCCAAAATGTGCGGCATCGAACTGCTATATGTTTGATTAGGCTAGATTCTTACCTCCAAGACTTGTTCACAGCACTTGAATCCCACAGACTTGTAAACCTATGCAACAACCAAAATCTATTTGAGAAATCCATATATTCCAGACACAGTACATTTCCTTGAAGTCAATCTTCCACATACGAAAAAGGGAATGAAGATAGTGAATCCACAAGATGTTATTGGCACTCCAAAATCGTTATCTTGCACTCCTCCTTAGATAAAAAAAAGTAAGAACGACGCGCAAAATGACTATTCTGAAGTGCTAATAACAGTTCCCTAAAATCCGAGGAAGAGATTTCGTTTTTTAAGTAACCTTAGTGGAAGCTTGGGTTGTTAAGACAGTGGTGCAGCCATCTCCAATGTTAAACTCACATGAAATAGAATCTCCCTAAAACAAGAGAAAAAGTTCAAAAAAAAAATTAACCCAGAAAACAAAACGGATAACAATTCACAAGCAAATACAGATTGATGGAACAAAAAAGCACATACAGAAACAATACCACCACCATAGGTGAGGTTGTAAACCCAAACAGCATCAGTTTTGGAGGGACCCACCTAAGGAAACATCAAAATTAACACCCCAATTGGACCATTTCACATTATTATCATCAAAACGTGAAATTTGATCTGAAAATGTTGACAAAAACAGAAGGTTAAAAATAATGAAGTGGAGAAAAAAGATGAGACCTTTCTGGGGATGATGAACTTGAGAGGATACTTTGAGAAGCATCTTGTCACTGTTGACCTTCCTCCAACTTTTTCCACCTCCACCCTTCCCTCTCTCTCCATCTCTCTCTCTCTCTCTCTCTCTCTCTCTCTCTCTAGAGCTGTAACCTGTGTACAAAACAAAGGAAGGCTGAATAGTGAATAGGGAGCACGTGTTCACAAATTGGGTCGGGTCCTTCGTTCAGGTTTAAAACCGTGTTTAAATGGGGTTTTCCTATTTTCTTTTTTCTTTTTTCTTTTCCATTTAAAAATCATAAAACAAAACCCTTCTCGCTCAGTCGCTCAGTCTCTCTAGGGTTCTACCTCCAGCTTCAACAAGCTCAGAACTTGTAAGGTCTTCTCTCTCTATGATCGATTTTGGTACTTGTGAATCAGAAATGTTGTATTTTTGTTTGCCTAATTGAATTTCCATCGAGCTCCGAAATTGGGCTCGTCTTTGTTTATTAGTTTTATTGACCTTCTGTTTGGTTGCTGAGAAAATGGGATCAGAAAACATCAAACTTAATGATTTCTTGCTTCCTGTCTGTTCTGCTTTTGATTGTTGAAGACAAAGTCTGAATCTTGTGATTAAACATACCTGGAAAACACAAAACCGATCTCGGAATCCAAATGATTGAATTCAGGGATTCGAATTTCTACCCTGCTCTCAGAAACCGAGCATTTCCCCTCCCTACCCCCTTTTTAGTTTTTTTGTTGAATCTTAATGTGAAGATGTTGAAGACAAAAAATTTGGATATCATTACCTCCCAATGGTAGAAATTTACAACGAGTCGGTGGAGATGAATTTTTTCAATTAGGAGATGATGTGCAAGTATAGGAATGATAGTTCTTGTTTGTTTCCATAAGTGTATTGATGCAAGCCTTTTTGTTTTGTTAGCTTTAACGTACCTAGACTAACCTTAACAATTGTATCCGACAGGTTTTGTGTAGATTCCGGATCCAGATAAGCGATTGTGAGAATTGAAATGGGTTTGTCATAGGTTGATTTCCATTGTTAGAGAACCTACTCGTGTGCAAACCTTGAAAAGATGAGTTTGATCTTGAGATTACGGAATCATTTGCCTAATGGGCTTTGCAGAAGACCACTTATTTCATCCCTTGGAGGACTGAATACTGGTAGCTTAAATGGGTTTTGTCGGAACTTTGGTCAACCTGCAAGGCGAGAAGAGGAAGAGGAGGAAGAAGTGGAGATTGACCAAAGGAGACTCCCTGCTGATTATGATCCAGCAACATTTGATCCCACAGAGCATCGTAGTCCTCCAACTGATCGGGTTTTTAGGCTCGTAGATGAAATATCGTCACTCACACTAGTTGAAGTTGCTGAGCTGGGCTCCATTTTGATGAGAAAAAAGGGAATGACGGAACCACCAGTTGTGGGAGTTATGAAGCCGGGAGCTGCTGGATTAGGATTGGCAATGAAGGGGCCGTCATCGGCAGCTAAGGAGGAGAAGAAACCAGAAAAGACTGTATTTGAATTGAAATTGGAGTCATTTGAGGCAGCCTCTAAAATAAAACTGATCAAGGAGGTAAGGAGCTTCACCGACTTAGGACTCAAGGAAGCAAAGGATTTAGTGGAGAAGGCGCCATCGGTGCTAAAGACAGGAGTGTCAAAGGAAGAAGGAGAGCAACTGGTAGAGAAGCTGAAAGCTCTTGGCGCAAAAGTTTCCCTTGAATGAAATAAAAAGACGATCCAGATGTACTCCTCTTCGAGATATTGCGAGATTAGTCAATGTTTCCTTGGGAATACCAGGTGATCAGCTTTTCAGAGTTTTATCAATCCTTATGAATCACATCTCAGATTTCCTCCAACTGTTTTATGTTCAGAAATTTGCTCACGATTGATTTCTTTACTGTATTGATATCTATTCTGGTAAAGCTGAGATTTTGATTAAGAATGGTCCGCAGACGAAGGCCGATTTCCATAATTCTTGGACCTTTGTTTAGTTTCTTCATTATTAATATTTCTATTAGCATGGTGCCTGCCATTCATAGCGTTTATAATGGCGGGAAATTATTTCCCTTCTGTTTTTTTCTTAATGCGCTCCTCGCTCAATCCTCCTTTGATTTGTTCAATTCAACAACTAGATAAAAAGAGATGAGTGCATTGGAAGAAAAGTAGAGTGCGGAAATCACTTCCCTCAACTCCTGATAGCGCTTAGTCACGTGTTTTGAACATGGATGGTGCTGGTTTGCTACACATTGCCAAGCTGAAATCAGCAACCGTTTGCACTTCTAAGCTTCTAATGCTTGATTTATGTTAATGCTTAGAGGTTGAAAACTAATTTATTGACCGAAAAGAAGATAATTAGAAATCCAAATTATTAAATGGAATTAAGATATACACAAGAAAATGATGAACTCGGCTGATTAGTACAACTTGGAATTTGGATTAACTGAAGAAATTGTAAATCTGTCTTTGACAAGGGGGAGATAATCACCCATACAGAATAGCTGTAGCTAAAAAGAGAAGAACTGGGACAAATACCAACAATGTTTCTGTCTTCATGATCAAGGTCGGATCACTCCCTGTTCTCCGAAAGAATTAACGTTGTTTGAGTCCTTCCATTTGGATTTCACCCTTGCTGCGGAGTACGTTGCTTCATCTCCAGATTATTAACCTGTGAAATAATAGATTTGCTTTACATTATTATCTTATGATTCTGGAAAATAGAAATCAAAGAAAAGTCTGCACTACGAACTGATGTTGGTATACAATTAAACTATGATGGAATATAGGCCAAGGACGGTTGGTTTTGAAACGTTTGCGACCAGGCAGCAAATCCCTTGTAAGTTGTAACTCACCTTTGGTGGACAGGAGCTAATGCTTCACTAGTCACTACTGATGAGAAGGGTGTTTTGAATGCAAATGTTTAATAGTTAAATGTTGTAAAGAGAGAATCGGTGAAGATTGAACTTGCACTAAAGTGCATATGCATTATTGTTTTTCGTCACTGCGGTAAACCAAAAGATGATTTTGGTAGTCTCCTATATTAGTAAGTAGTAACTATATCTTCATTCACCTCACATATAAACTATACAAAAATTGTTGAGAGCGTATGAGATATTTCAGATCTTTTAGCTGTTAAATTTTAATTTTTATATTTAAAACAATCTAGCAATTAAAACACTTAAAATATCTCATAACTGTAAACTTTAATATAATATGTTTATTATTATTTTTTTTTGTTAGACGATAGATTTATTAGATTAGATGTTATATGAAGGAGTCGACATAGTTCAAACACACACCATGGTGCAAGAGCAACACTTCTCTCCATCACTGTGGTAGAGGGTCACCTGCTACTATGTTAACTATCTTATGTTTACTTATTGGAACGAGTAAATCTAAACCTTTCCCGAAATTTCTTTTTTATAGAATTAAGAACTCAAATTAAATTATTTAGCTAATTTTCCCATCGTTGTCTATTCTCCACATTTCGCCTAAATTTACTCCAAATATAATTACATGCATAAAATGTGAATGCCTTGAGAGCAATTTGATCATTATCTTTCTAATTATTAAGGGTTCAATTCACTTGGAGTAGTAGGTCAACCCTTCTACAAACATCCGTGCAACTATGCAATGCATATTCATTGATCATTATATTACTCCAATTCCGTTCAATGAATTTGGTTGAATATGATCTTCAAACACAAGGCATTGTTCATGATATCAAATTATTAATCCCAATTAATCAAAGGAAAACTCATGACTCATCACCCCTGTTTTACATTGTATTTCCTTGGCTACCTTGAACATGGTGCTATTAATTAACTACCTACATGACTCATCTCATTGTCCCCAAAACCATACAAAGTTATATATGGTTAAACATCGTCACTTGATAAAACTAGTCCACATGCTATAAGTGACGAAAGGTTTGGTATCGATATTATATTAAATAAAATAAATTCAAACCAAATGGTGAACAAGCAGTAGGAAAAGAGAAGTTGGATTAATGTAAAACCGCATGATGAGTCATGAGTTTTCCTTTGATTAATTGGGATTAACATCATGATCAATGCATTGTGTTTGAAGATCATATTCAAGCAAATTCATTGAATTGAAGTCATATAATACCATGATCAATGAATATGCATTGCACAGTTGCATGGATGTTTGCAGAAGGTTTAACCTACTTCCAAGTGAATTGAACCCTAAATCATTCCAAGTGAATTGAACCCTAAATCATTAACTAATAGTTTTCAGTCAATTAGGGAGAGGGGTTGGGGTTCGATTGTTTTGTTTTCACTTTTCAAGGTGCGACTCAAACCAAGACATGTGCATTTGAGTAGCAGCATAGGTTTCAAAGTTTTCCACCGGCATCCAATTATATTGAAGAACTTAACCGTTAATTAGGATGATTATCTTTCATAAACATGGTTTACAAACCCTAGAAATGAAATAACCCATTAACTAATATGTCTACTGGTCTAGTGCCTAGCAAGATAGATGGCGATGTTCATGTACTGTTTCCTAAAGTAAGATTGTTTAGGTTGAGAATATATATCTGTCGCCACTCACATATATATATATACTATTCTGCCTCTATGTTTTGCTGCTGGGTCTCATCAGTCTTGACCGTTTGATTAATGCATTTTCTATGGGTTTGAAACCTAATACCATGGTCTAGCTAGCCTCACGCATGGTATTGCCTATTGATAGTGTTATTATGTCGAAAAATTCTTTGGTACTTTGGAGTGTATTCATACTTTAACTGTCAGATTTTATTTAAAGGATGATGTTATGTACGTAGTTGTTTTTATTTCTCACATTTTTTTTTTAATTTCTAATAATTAGATCGAATGAATTAAAGAAAATCAATAAATAAAAATTAACAAGGGCGTTTAGAATATAAAAATAAATGTGTAAATAGCATTACAGTGGTTTAAAATATAAAAATTAAGATCTAACGATTAAAATACTTTAGAATATCCGATACTCTGGACCACCGAAATAATGTCCCTATTATACCATGCTTTTCAGCAACTATCACATTTTAACCAATATGTTTTTGTTTGCATTGTATTTATTAACTTAATTAAAGTGATATAAAACAAATATTCTGTACGGCGAACTGCTCTATTAGGCAACATGGTTGTGCAAACTATCAACTTATATACAAAACTGATATCATTATCTTACCTAAAACTTTACTTTAAAAATAAAATGCTGCATTAACCTTAAGGAAATTCAAAATTTTTGAATACATCGATATTTTTTACATTAAAAAGAGTGAGAGTTCTGCTAAGCTGCACAATGGACAACTTAATTTTGATATCCACAATGAGCAACCTAATTTGTTTCTTACATTATTTGAATTTCTCCTGGAAGCAGTTGATGGATTGCAAAAATCTATATCGGGAAGGGTCAGTATGGCATGCACGATGCACCTATATACCCTCTCATTAAGGGTCAATATATATTACCCTACACAATAGTGGTCGGTTGGCTTGGAATGTGAATCTTTGAAATTTTCCACATAGTTTATATAACTAGTAAACTCCCATTTGAATTTGGTACTACCAAATATTATTACCCTACACAATAGTGGTCGGTTGGCTTGGAATGTGAATCTTTTAAATTTTCCACATAGTTTATATAACTAGTATACTCCCATTTGAATTTGGTACTACCAAATATTATTACCCTACACAATAGTGGTCGGTTGGCTTGGAATGTGAATCTTTGAAATTTTCCACATAGTTTATATAACTAGTATACTCCCATTTGAATTTGGTACTACCAAATATATATATATATATATGTGTGTGTGTGCATGCGCGCGCGCGCAGCTGACCTACCCCAAGGCATGTGGAGAAGATTTCAATATATGGCCACATAAACTTTGTGAAGCCCTAGACATGTATAGTCCACTCGAAAAAATCCTTAGTAATAGCATATGACGCTTCATCGTAATGACGAAAACCAATAATACATATGCATTTTGGTACGAGTTTAATTTTTACAGATCTTTCTCTATCCTAAAATTTAATAATTTAACCTACTAATGTTATCATTTGTTGAAAGGTAAAAAATTCAAAGGAATTGCTGTAAAAGTTAACAAAACAAGAATTTCAGCCGTTGGTAGGTTATTCTACAATACCGACGAGTACGGCCTAGACTTTTATTTCATTGATTGGCGCTTAAGTTTATATATTGTGTTTATAGTATTTCTATGATCAATTAAAATACAGATATATCGTCGATAAGTAGTATATTTTTGTAGCATTTGTTGATATTACAAACTTAAATTTGTTGATAATTAATCTGCAAATGATACTTAACTATTACGCAAAATAACTATATATATACAAATTTGTAAGCCATATTTGAGAATGTAAATGTCAAGAATACAAAATTTCGAGTGCACAAAACCCTAATAAATTTTCCTTAGGACTTGACCTACAAACCCGTTGCACAATTCACTGCTCTTGCAGTACGATTCTCATTGATCTCAGAATCTTATTAGGTTAAGAAATGCTCACGACACCACAATGCCCGGGTATTAAGGTCCATAACAGAGGTCAGAAAGTACACTTAGATTTGATGCTACACAAATCTTACTGTGCCATAGTGGCCAAGTGATCAGAGTTCCCTTTCAGATCTCAGAGAAAGGCAGGGAAATAGGGTTTAAGCAGAAACGATGCGTTAAAAAAAGAGAATATGATTCTTTACCTTCTCTTCCATCTTATTTTCTTCTTTTTCTCATATATTGTTTTTTATTTTATTATCTTTATAAAAAAATTAATATAAAATATTAACGTGATTTAATCGTGATCGTTTAAATAAAAAAGAATGGAATGAAAGAGAGACTAAAAAAAAAGAGAATCCTTCTTTTAAAAAAAAAAAAAAAAAAAAAAAAATAACGTACCCATAAAGGGAGGGCCATGTGCGGCTTCGCATGCTCTTCGACTTTTTCCTCTTTCTTTTTCTGTATAAACCGATGGCTGATCAGGGTCACCACGTGATCGACGACGCCCTAGCTCTTCTCTGTCTCTGTCTCTCTGTCTCTGTCTCTCTGGTCACCCATCGTCTTTGGTTTTAGTCTTTACACAGATGCACATTGACTTGCATGCCCGCTGACATGTGGATCTTGGTGTCTACCCAAAACCTAAATTAAACACCCATCTTCTTTGGACTTAGTCTTTACACACATGCGCATTGACTTGCATGCCCGCTGACATGTGGATTTCGGTGTGTACCCAAAACTAAAAACTAAACACACTTGTATATGACACGGATTTTTGGATTTTTGTGTCATCAACTTTCAACTTTGTAGTAATATTTGAAGAGAGAGATATAAGTTTAACATTAATTAGGCAATATAATTTTCCATAAACAAAGTTAAAATCAGAGAATCTAATGAATTGGTAACGTATTCTTTTCCATTATTCAATGGATTTTTGGATTTTTGTGTCATCAACTTTCAACTTTGTAGTAATATTTGAAGAGAGAGAGATATAAGTTTAACATTAATTAGGCAATATAATTTGGCATAAACAAAGGTAAAATCAGAGAATCTAATGAATTGGTAACATGTTCTTTTCCATTATTCAATAACAAGAGGCCAAAAAAGAGAGAAGAGAATGATGAGAGGTCGCTCATGAGATGAGAACCACGAGAGGAAAAATTCACATGCACGAATTGCATACAACATCTGTTGCTAAATGTGTATTTTACATACACATCAATAAGTTATTATGTATTTTTTTTTTCTGGCTTTCTTCCGATGGGATTGTAATTAACTATTGAAAGCATATATAACAATTTGTTCCACAAAGCCGATAAAGATAGTACTTATGTGTAAAATCAAACAGTTACAATTCTGATAATTATAAATTATTTTTTCTACTAAATTAAGGTAAATAGTCAAAATAGTCCTTAAGATTTGCATAACACATCACTTTGGTCCCTGAGATTGTCCACCATCCATCATTTTGGTCTTTCCGTTAAAATCTCCGTTAAGTGTACCGAAGCTCTTGACCGAAAGTTTGGGCAATTTTCAAAGCTTCGTAACTCAATCGTTTATTAATCAAATTCAACCTATAATATATCAAAATGAACATAGGAAAGTGTAGAACAAGATTATACCTAATTGGAAGCCCAATGGTTGCCAATGGCCGGAAAATAGCCTCAAAGTTGACTGGTTCGCGGGAAAACTCGCTAGAAACTATGTCAACTTTAAACGTTCATAACTTCTTCAATACTCACCGAAATCAAGTGATTCAAAAACAAAAATCATACTTCTCAACGAGAAAAAGAGAATGGTACCTTTCTCGACGGCTAAATATCCATGGTTTGGACGGAAAACGGCTCGAAAGTGGCTAACTCGAAAATAGTTAGCCACTTTCGAACCGTTTTTCCGGCCAATATACGGTGAATTAGCCATCAAAAATATGTACCATTCTCTTCATCTCGTCGAGTAGTATGAGTTTCATTTTTAAATCACTCGATTTCGTTGAGTATTGAAGAAGTTATGAACGTTTAAATACCTAATTTCCGGCGAATTTTCCAGTTTTCCCGCATACCAATCACCTTTGAGGCTATTTTCCGACCATCTCTGGCAACCATTGGGCTTCCAAATAGGTATAATTTTGTTTTACACTTTTCTATCTTCATTTTGATATGTTATGGGTCGAATTTGGTTAAAAAACGATTGAGTTACGAAGTTTTGAAAATTGCCAAACTTTCGGCCAAGAGCTCTGGGACACTTAACGGAGTTTTTAAGCAGAATGATCAAAATGATGGATGATGGACAATTTCAGAAACCATTTCTATTGATTTTTAATCTCAGTGATCAAAGTATAAAATTACATATTCAGATCATTGATCGTTGACAGTTTAGTTGATAGGTGTGGGACATATGCAAAGAATATTATACCAACCGGGTGGCCACTTGGGTCTTTTCAGTCAAATTATTTCTCTGCTCTCTGACAAGATTAGATTGGGATGCCACTGCCTTACTGCGTCACTTCCTGCACTTGCTTTAATCATTTTTCTCTTAATCATTGTGGTTAGTGATCTAATTAACTTAACCTTGCTTTTACGCTCAAAGAAATTTCTGATTCGTTCCACCATCTTATTCAATGAATCATTAGAATTCATTTTCAACAGAATTTTTATGCATTCACAAGTTCTGTCGTTCTCATCGCTGCCTAAACCCTCAGTTTCAACATAGGGACAGTAGTTTCAAAATATAGTTAACACACATTCTCTACAACACATTTTATATAAGCACGTTGTAGTCATTAGATTGTCGAGTTTACTATCTTTCACGAGAATAAACATTACTCTATATAAATAAATTTATAATCAATAGATTTAGACATTCTCTCAATTTAACTGTATTTTTGTTAAATGAATCTGACACCGAATATACACCAACGAACTCTCCATTTATACTAAAAAAAATGTTTACACTAATTCCTTATTTGAATTCATAAATATAGAAATTTAGGAGTTTTATTTCGAAGTTTAACTAGTTTGGTATTGCTGTGTTTTGAAAAAAACTGCTTCTGCTATGCTGTGAGAATAAGCTCATTTTTTCTATTTCACGTTTTCAGTTTTTTTTCATCCAAAACTGTAAACATAAGTTGTTTTTAAGTACTTACCAAACACATTTTTGAACTCAGCTTTTTTTATACCCACTTTTTATAAAAGCACGTCAGTACCAAATCAGTACTAAATTCCATGTAGATAAGTATCATTCATAATTTTTATGAATGAGAGTTTAAAAATAACAAATTTCGTATTTAAATTTCATTCTTTTTTAAATTAACAAAATAAAAAAATTCATAAATTTTAAAATAAGAATTTAATTGTGATTTAGACAGTGTGCTCGAGAAATAATGTTTGAAACCAAATTAAAAAGGTTCACATTGGCTTTCTGTCATGTGGATGATACATTTTTTATTCATTGAGAAGTACAAACAAAAGCATTCAAAATTTGGCATTGCATGCAACTTTTAATCTTAATTTATCTTATTTTTTTTTTCACTTTTAAAGGTGAGAAAACACCTCCCTCCCTCACCCCTCCACTTCCTATATATACACATTCCACACTCACTTCCATCGCCAGACCATTTGCTGTAATCATTTTCAATTCACTCACTCCAAATCTCTCCGGAAAAAAAAAACTAGAGAAGTTACCTATATATTTCCACGATGTGGCTTATTTCTTGGCCGAAGACCACTTGCCCCACCAAGACCGGTGGTCCTGAAGGTGTCACCACCACCACAACCGCCGCCAATAGGTGTATGAATGGTTTATCATCCCACTGCACTTGTCTAACCAAACTGGTGAGGAAGCTAATTAGGAAACATAGGAGAAGGGTAAGGGCTGCAGCTAGCAGGCAAAGTTCATTGCAGTCCCACTATGATCCACTGAGCTATTCTCTCAACTTTGATGCCAGTGGGTGTGGGAACTTGTTGGATGACCAAGATTACTTCAAGTTCTGTGCATTTTCCTCCAGGTTTGTGGCCAACCCGTCAGGAAACTCAGCTTCTACTCCCAGGCCAGACACCACCATTCCTCGCTAGAAAAGAAAAGGAAAAAAAAAAAAATATATATATATATATATATATATTATGTTCAGCTTGTTTTCCTCAGCAAACTCCCAGGCTAGACACCACCACTCCTCACTAGAAAAGAAAAGGAAAAAAAAAATAAATAAATATATATATATATATATTATGTTGAGCTTGTAATCTTTCATTAGGATGCAATGGGTATTTTGTATAGTGGTAGTCTGGTAGAGGTTGGCATCTGAGATTTCTAGAGAGAGAGAGAGAGAGAGAGAGAGAGAGAGAGAGAGTGAGAGGTTGATATGATGGGGGAAGCAAGTTAAGCTAATACATTTTTGTACCAGTGGTTAATTATTGTGCTGACTAATAGATAATAGTTTGACGATCAATTTTCTTCTTCATAATTTTTTATGACTTTTTATTCAAAATGATTTGAAATTAATAAAAATGATCTTTATCTACCATTAATTATTTTGATCATTTCGTTAAAAATACTTTTAATTATTGTCAAATTATTTTGATCTATTGTTTATTAAACTGAAGGAATTTTGTCATTTTGATCTATATGTAACAAAAATTTTCGTGAAATGATTAAAATGATTGATGATATACAAACTTAAAATCACTTCTATCGATTTTAAATTTTAAAAATTAAAATGATGAATTATCCCATTCTTGGGATCATTTTTGGCTAAAAAAAAAACTTTTTCTTCCTTCTTTTTGTGTTCGTTCTATATTTTTATTTGTTTTTAGATATATTTGTTATTTTTATGATATATCGCTGATGTTAGAATATCATTTTACAAGGACAAAAGACAGCAAGGTTCCAAATTAAAATTTTATCCTGGGACATGAAAATCTTTACCCCAAAAACAAAAATGAGACGACAAAATATGCAGAAATAACTTACTGTCCACAATTAGTCATGATAAAGAAAGGAAAATGGTAACCGTACATTATTTTTCTCCTCATATTCTGTGATTTTCGTTTAATTTATTTTTTTGAATGATCATAAATTCCGTGGTTTTCGTTTAGTTTATTTCTTTGGATGACCATAAATAAAGAAGTGTGTAAGAGACTCTGCTTTAACTTCTACTTGGACCAAATTTCATCTGCATCAACCTTAATCACTTAAAACAACCAAATCTTTAACCATCAAAACAAACTTACACAAAACCAGTTGAGATTTGGTTGCTCAACGCAGAACTCCTCTTTCAACTGTAAACAAATCAACAGTTCACAAGACCGCCACACGGAAACGGCCACCAGAAAATTCTAAGTCCCAAACCAGCCATTTTTTCAGCAAAACCAACCGGTTCAGCGCCGCTGATCAGACCTCATTGATGAGACCACAAGGAGGAAGAAAGCTTCCATGGATACACACATGGAAAAATGAGAAGGAAACAACACTATACTTTCATTCTCTTACATAAGCTTTACACAATATATCCTAACAACCCTAGTTTATCATGCACTACACGAAACCTACAAAAATTCAATCACGTCGGAGCCATGAACAACACAAAAGAATAGTTGTGTTCTAATCTTCGCTCCGCGTATTACACCTAAGATTCCTGATCACTCACGGGATGATCCGAGACAGTGCCCTCAGAAGAAATTTCCTCTACATCGGGTCGTTCTGTCCTAGGGGGATCCGACTGTGTCTTGCTGGAATCCCCGCTGACAGTATCAAATGTTCTAACAGGCGATCCCTGCTTAGCCATCGTTCTTACCATAGCAGTTGCGGTTTGCGAGTCCAAGAGTTCTACTTGGTCAACGGAGTTTGGCAATGAGGGCTTTGCGTCACGGAAGCTTGTGCTTGCCATGCCAGAAGCTGCTGACAAATGTGGACCTGGCGCAACGCAGGATGCTACCAACTGAAGCACTTCAGGGGAAGGCGACAATCCCATGGTTGTTTTCTTCTGCTGATTCAGATGTGGCGCTGAGGATGATGGGTTTACCATACTCAGAGGCGCACTTAGGCCAGACTCAATCCGTGAAAGGCCTGAAGTTGCAGCCATTGCTTGTGAAAGCAATGGAAATGATGGGGCCATAGGAATGGAGCTTGAAGCATTGTCGCCAGCGTGCCTGCTATGAAAGTCCCGGCCTCTTCCAGCAATGTCTAGTTTAACCCGCTTAAATAGACGTGATTTCTGCTTTCTTTTCTTCTTTAGACTTCGCCTTGGATCCTTTGGTAGCGAAGGAGGTGGACCAGGAATCACAAATGGAGGAATACTTCGCTTCTCCTCCCCATATAACAACCGGACAGATTGAGCTATTGCGGACACTGTGGGTGGCAGGTCAGGTACTGGAGGTTTAGCAGGAACACTTACAGCTTCCCGTAGCCAATGGGGAGCGTGCCCTTTGAAGAACTACTTCCAGCAACATCTTCTCCCTTTAAAATCCCACTCTTAAGATTAGGCAGCAATCCTGAACTGGAGGGTTCACCTCTTCCCAAATTATTATTCGTATCACGTAAAGCATTCAGTGACCTATCGAGCACACAAGGCAACTTGCCGTACCTATGAGCACCCTGTTCATCTTCCTTCTTCTGTACATCATAGTTGCTAGCGGAATTCAAGCCTAATGAACCCAAGCAACTGGTACCAAAAGAAGTGACAACAAATGGCTGCTCAGCAGGAACACTGGAAGACGTACCTGCTCTGTTAGAAGCTCCGGCTGCAGAATCTTCAGAAAAATTAGTCCTGAATTTATCATGAAACCAAGATGGAATAGGGGGATATTGCTCATTCTGCAAACCGAGTCTATCAGATGATTCAAAATGCGGAAAGCCCGATGAAGGATCAGTAAAACCCAGCTTTATATCTGTCAAATGGGATTGAAATTTTGGCGGTGTAACAAGTCTACTTCCATGCAGTGCCCGTGCCATCATCCCATCCGATATGCTTGGAAACTGTGACGATTTGGCAGTCTTTTTTATTGACTTTGACCCAGCAAAAGCTGACCCATCTAAAATCTTGAGTTGCTCCTCCTCCCACCTAGCTGACAGATCTTCTGAAGTTTTAAACTTCGAGAACTTCAACCTCGGGTCTCTCAGCATTGCATCCCAGTTGCCCCTTCCATGCCTACGAACACCAATCCATAGAAAATCAAGTTCATCTTCCGTCCACAGATCTGCCTTAAATTTCTTTTTGAATAAGTTGCTCGATCCAGGACCAGTCCTCATCATTATGTTTTCGAGCACCTTCCGGTGGTTATCAGGAAAAGATGGAAAATTAGTTGGCATATGTCCCAAACCCAAGGAGGGAGGCACATCTCTATCTTGCTGATTATATCTGGGTGCATCTGGCGGAAATTTTAAATTCGGAAACAATGACATTGTTGGAAGTTCTTGCAAGGAACCACTTGCAGATTCGAGTCTGCTACCCAATGACAAGTTAGGTAAGAAGTCTAGATGTGGACTCAGCATGTTCTTTGCTCCAAGTGGGAATCTTGGTAGCAATTTCTCATCAAATGGTAAGTTAGGCAATGCCATCTTTTCATGGAAATCAGAAAAGGAAGCACCGGAACTTTCCGGACAATCATGACTGCTTCCTTGACCAGGCGGAGGATACTGCAAACAGACCAAGCATAGTGATCATGTATCAAAAAAAATTTCACCCACAGATATATATATATATATGTAGAGAGGGAGGGAGAGAGAGAGAGAGAGAGAGTTTTTACCGGCCTAAATGGAAAACCACCATTTGGGATGTTATTCAACTTATTCTTGAGACGTGATACTTCAGCTGGTGCATCTGATAGTTTCATGTCATCACCATTTACTTCTGTCTCATTCACAGTCCCAGACCGAGGATCCAGACTAAATGGAAACTCTGGCCGAGCTCCTTTTTGTCTACCGTTTGACCTTGAAAATTTCTTATTTGATGATCCTATTTGACTAGCATTGGGAGCACAGAGTCCCAGAACAGGTAATAAATTATTTGAGAGCAGTGAGCTTGTTCCCGGAACCTGGTGGCTGGGAAGGAAAATATCAGGTGACATGTAGTCAAGAGAATTAACAGAAAGATCAAGGTGACTGCTTTTATGCTTCGATAGCCGGCCCAATCGTAAAGGAGAATCAGTCTTGGCCTTAGGGGGATCTAACTTATCGTCCTCCAAGTCAATTACAGAAGGCCTCTCTCTGAGAAACTGAACTAATTCAGTCGCTTGATCCCCATCTTTGGCAGTGTTGGTAGGACCCTGAGGAAGTGACTCAACAGGTAGTCCCTCACTAGGTTGAGGTTCTTCAACTGCATTCCTCTGAGCAAGTCGTTCTTTTTGTCTAGCTCGGAGCTTAGCACTGTAGAGTAAAAATATAAGTACTTAACGACATCCACAATCAAAAATTTAGACAATGCATAAAAAATTATCACTATTATACACGAACCATTTATTCAGGACTTCCGACCAAATCTAAATGCCTACAACTCATAAATTTGTTACTGCCTAAATATCTGAAATATTTAAATACTCCAAAATCCACCAAATTATTTATAGAGATTAAGTTCAAATTTGATAATCCATATATTAAGGCTCCAGTTCTAAAATCAATTAAACTAAAATCAGAAAATGTGAGAGGTACACACGTATATCCCTTTTACAAAACACAACTAGGTATGTCGCAAAAATGCTGAACTAAAGCAATTACAGTATAACTACTTGAAGGAAATGTGAACTTACAACTTTTCTTTTAGAGCTCGTCCAGCAGGTGTGTACTCCCTCTCTGGCTCTGGTTCGGGCTCATGCTCATCGTCAGCACCCTGCTTACATGCAACCAATTAGATTACCGCCGATAAGCAACTTAACCAAACTAATTATGCAGTAACTTCCTGCCCAGATAGTCCAGGAGCCTAAGGAAAAAAAAATTATCTGCACTATATATGAATTCATGCAAGTCAAAAGACAAGTTAGAAGCGAAAGGCCTGAAACAAGTTCAGCCAATCTACAACCACATAGAATTCAGTTATAGAAGGAGTTCAGTAATTTTCAGGAAAGTCTATCTGCAGTTGAAAAAGAAAACGAAAGTTTTTCTTAGCGACAATTTCAGCAGCACTGTGAAAGTGCAGATACAAAAGAAAGGTAGACTAGAAAAAGCAACATGCTTCATTCAATCATATGTCAACTGAAGTACCTCACTCAATGTTTCAGTTGGGTGTGCAGCGTATGCTTCTCTGTACGAAACCGCTTTCCGCTGGCGCTTCCCACGACCAAGAGCTGCTTCCTCCTCACTTTGGTATTTCTCCCACCTACAAACCCATCAAAATACAAAGAAGTCCTTAATAAATCAAGAAAATGGGAGACGGAAAGCAAAAGGTACACAGGAAAACCTCATCAGAACACTAATGTTTGAATGTAGATAATATGAATTAGCAGATTAGAAGAGCAGCGGTAATAACACATGGAACACTAAACATGGGTGAAGTAGAAGAATTTGTTACCTAAGGCGCAAAAGTCTGTCCCATTCATTTTCTTCAGTAACCATGTTATCCTCTTTCCTTTCAGTATTTTGTACACTGGTATCATCACTTGCACCTGGAGGTGATTCAGCTCCCTGTTCTTCAGCTGGTTCCTCATTCCATTCGGTGGCCTGATTAAAATTTTAGTTAGAAACTTTATGAGATGAATGAATAAAAGCAGCATAAAGTAGGATAACAAAATCAATATGCATGGAACAAAAGATGAAAAGAATGATTGCTTTCTTTTACAACTATGAGAAGCATCAAACCAAAATAGGGTCTCCAAAAAAGGTTCAACCGAACACATAGCAAATTGAGAGAAACGAAAAAATTTCCCGGACTAGAGTGATCACATCCAATCTAATCAATAACAAAACTGACACAAAAACTAGTCAACTAATTATTACTGACCCGATGAAGGAAGGAAAAATGGACAAATAATATCAATCTGGGTCAAAAAATTGTAGTTTTAGTTTTAATCCGAAAGTGAGCGAGAGGGAGGCTTATCAGTCATGCTTTCAAGTGGCATCAGATATAAAATCACCATAAAGACTTCTAATCGGGAAAAAAAAAACTCAATGCATTAGATAAGTTTAATAGCACCTTTACTGAGCCAAGCATGTCATTTTCCATTTCTCCTTCAGCAATATCAGTTGAACTAGACTGAAGGTCTGAACGGTCAAGCAACTTTGAAATTGCACTTTCATCCCATACAATCTTGTTGCTGCTATCTGTGCATTTATCCGTATAAACGTCTCCCAAGCCACCAGTCCGCTTCCTATGCTTATGTTCTACATCTGCCACTGCCTCATCTTTGTTACTGTTATTTTCATCGGTATCTTTTCCATCAGTGCTAGGAGAATCATTAAAAAGCTCCTCTGTTCCCCATTTTATAATATCCTCCACTTCTTTTTGGGATCCAGACTTATTCACAAAAAGCTGATCAAGCATAAGTTTCTTTTTTGCAAGCTGCAAGATGCGCTCTTCAACACTAGCACGAACTACAAGCCGATATACCAGAAGTCGTTTTGACTGTCCAATTCGATGTGCTCGGTTCATAGCTTGAATATCAGCATGCGGGTTGAAATCAGAATCATAGATAATGACAGTGTCAGCTGTTGCCAAATTGATACCAAGGCCGCAGGAGCGTGTTGATAACAAAAAGACAAATCGGCTTTGATCTTGGTTAAAACGCGCAATTGCAGATTGGCGATCAGTCACTGAAACTGAGCCATCTACTCTCTCATATGTTTTAGGTCCAAATTCTGCGGCCAAATAATCCTCGAGGATATCTAGCAGCTTGGTCATCTGTGAAAAGATGAGGACTCTGTGACCCTCTTTATGCAGAATCTTAAGCATAGAATGCAACAGAGTCAACTTGGCCGAAGCTTTTATCCGCATTTCATGAAGGAACTCTGCAGACCCAGAGTCAGGCTCAGTGCCTGGTATAAGATACGGATGATTGCAGACTTTCCTTAACTGCATTACAATGTTCAGCATGGATTGTTGTGCCACCCCTTTTCCAATATTCCGCAATATCTGATAATTCTTTGTCAGCATTGCACGGTAGTATTCAGCTTGGATAGAGGACAGCTCAACAGGAACCATCCGTTCAGTCTTGGGGGGGATATTTTGCATAGCATCCTTTTTAAGCCTCCGAAGCATATGTGGAGCAACAAGTTTTTTCAATTCATCCACTTTTTCCGCAGTTGTAAGATCATTAAACCTTTCCTCAAATGCAGAAAGGGAAGGGAATGATGCCGGCTGCAAGAAGTTAAGCAAGTTATACATTTCACCAATGTTGTTCTGAAGAGGGGTACCAGTCAACAGTACGCGATGCTGGAAAGACAAGGAGTTGAGCAAGCTGAAAAGCTTACTTCCTGAATTTTTCAAACGATGGCCTTCATCAACTATGAGAACTTCCCAAGGAACCCCGCGGAGATGTGAGGAATCAGCAAGAACCATTTCATACGTAGTTAAAAGGACATTAAATTTATACGCAGATGTTTTCTTATTCAACGAATTTGGATCACTAGCATGCCATTCATGCTGGCGAATTATGGTTCGTGCTTTAGCACACCCATGATATTCCACAACATTCAATTCAGGAGCCCATAATGCAAACTCAGCAAGCCAATTAGGCATTGTGGAAAGTGGAACCAAGACTAAACAAGGCAGAGTGGCTTTGAACTCAACGTATAATGATGAAATAAAAGCACAAGCTGACACAGTTTTACCAAGCCCCATCTCATCCGCTAGTATTACATTCTTGGATTTATGCCAGCATTTACGCAACCAATTGAGTGCTTCAAGCTGATGAGGAAACAATATACCCTTCAGTTCCTTAGGCTGCTCTGTCAGAGTAACTATTTCACTTTGCTGACAACTAACCTTCCCCTTTGACGAATCATCCTTAGAAGCATTGTTTTCCAGTGTTTGGCGCTCAAACTGATTAAATTGATCGATCAGATTCTGAGAATTTTTAATGATAGGCTCGTCCAATCTTTCCCAAGTGCATTCGACGTACGGGAGACCAGTCCACTTTATCAGAGCTTCGCCTGAACCATTTTCAACACCACGTAGACCAATCACCCGCTGTGGTTGCTTCCACCGTTCCTCACAGATATTTATAACAGCTGTTCCATACTTAGCCTTGTAATTTTCTAATTTTCTCTTGGCCAAGACTTTTAGCTCAGATTCAGAGATCCAACTATTATGAATATGAGACTTACCCACCCACTTAACTAAAAATTCAAACGATACAGTCCCATCACTTCCACCTGCAAGATCAGCCAGTGAGGGCCCCTGAATTTTGGTTTGAGGGCTGCTACTGAGTCCAGTTTCTGTATCTGCATCTTTTTTGTCTTCGGTGTCAAGGGACACATGCATTTCAATTTCACGAACCTCATCATTATCAGGACTTTTCAGACTAACTTCGGTATTCTCCGCAGTCACTATTTTTTCAGGGGTTTTTACTGAATCATCTGCAGCTACAGCAGATTCCTCTTGATCTCTACAAATTCTGTTAGCAGGAATCGAATCCTTAGCACCCATCCTCGACACATCCATGGAACTAGCTTTTTTACCTTCTTTGTTCACAGATCTTCTGTACACATGTATTTTGTCCACTATAACATTATCCTTTGTGCTTTCATCCCCATCAGCACCGTTGATAACATTTTCGCAACCCTCCACGAGATTATCATCCTTCATGCTTTCATCCCCATCAGCACCACTGACAACATTTTCACAACTCTCGGTAAGATTTTCATCCCCATCACCACCATTGACAATTTTGTCAGCAGCTCCGACATCCATGTCGTTATCACAAACAGAATTTCCATCTGCTAGTCTGTTTTGAGTCTCAGAAACTTGCAAATCATCAGGACACAGGTCAGGAGCAGCTGTCACACATATCTGACAAGAAGAGTTGGCATTGTCACCCTGAACTCGACATCCCAAAACCCGATCAACCTGTGACATGGGCATACAAGAAACAAATTAATCTGTATAGCAACGTCAAGTAACCAAAACAAGAGCATATTTTCTATATATCCACATCCAGTAATAAAAACATTCTGACACTCTAGAAAACTCATTTACCTGCAGAGGTTGAGCAGTAAAACTATCTCTACAAATTGGTGTTTCAACTACATGACCTCCAGCTTTATCTGCATTATGTGATGAGTCGTTTGCTCCCTCAGGAAGCTCCTGAAACAAATCAATGATATTTACTACGTATAAATAAACATAACTAAGGACTTATCCTGATAACACCAGCCTATGGACATCAAGAACTTGAAATTATTTGATGGAAATAACAGTGATAACAGTATAAAAACCAGCATGATTTGGAAAACTATTAAGAAGTCATCAAAAGCCTATTGATGGTTCCTACATATGAACATGGGTCCAATATAAAATCAAAAAAATTTAATGATACCTCATCTTTGCTTTTAATATCTGACTTCTTGGTTCCAATTTCTTCTCTTGGCAAAGACGCAGAAACCCCATGGTTAATAGATTTATGCTTACGAGGAGCTTTACCAACCCTCAGTTTTGCAGTATTTGCCTTAGATCCAGATTGTTCAGAAATACTAACAGACTTCCCCTTATCGTTCCTGCGCTTCTTTTTACTCTTATCATTATTTCCCTTGTGTTTTCTCTTTTTAGCCTTGTCAGTTGCAGCACTGATCGCAAGAACAATGGTCTTGCGTGGAGATCCATCAGTACAAGACATATCAGGCTTCACATCAGGAGAGGCAGATACCTCAGGAGCTTCTTCCTTCTGCTCTGACGCTATAACTTTAGAATGAGATGAAACTTCTTTAGCAGGAGAGCTCGACTTTCTGTCTGTGGGATCCTCTTCTGGGACAATGCTGGATCTCTTTTCATCATCAACATTCACACAAGATGAAATACCGTCTGCAGAACCACCAACTGTTGAATGAGTCGGGTTGGTGCTACATATATCTATCTGTGAGTTCTTCAATAAGGATTTGACTCCATGGGTTAAAACAGCTTTTCCTTTGCTTGAGGATCTTTTCTTTGCAACAATAGAGTTTCCAAAAATATGTGTTACTTTCTCCCTGTCAGATGACTTCATTCCAGTTTTGGACTTCGTAGTGACAAGTTTTGTTCTTGCTCGTTTTGAAATGGTATCCGTCAAAAAGTTTCTGGGTTCAAGCAGATTCCTTTTCTGATCACTTTTCTGACAGCAAGTTGGACATTGCCACTTCCCATTGGGAATGCGCTTCACACAATGAATATAACAATTAAAGATTTTACAAGAAAGGGAAAAACCATAATTGCAATAAAAAAAAGGGGATCATGAAAAACAAGCTATCGTACTACCGTCAAAATATATCTACCTTAAGAGGTGGATTAAGACACTGGAGATGATAGGTTCGGGGACAGCTATCACAACATAACAAGTTACCGCCAAGGTCACAGACCACGCACTCATAGAAATACTGGATGAGAGAAAATTAGATTAGACAAAAAGTTGCATGAAATCAGAGACCTAAAAAAAACTAATATTACAGAGTAGGGATAAAACATAAGTATCTACTTATCGCTCAAAGCTAACATCGGACTGCTAACGAGCAAAATATTATGTTCCATGCAGATACGATAAACTGCAGTACAAATGCTGTTACTGTATCTGACAATATGTTGTGCCAACAAACTCAAAAGGAATACTAAACCCAAAAAAATATGAGCCCATTCTTATGTTCTTCTAACCGTTCAGCAGACCAGGAACTCAAAGTTCAGCAACTAAAGTGAACTTGTCAGTTGCCTATTCTAAAATAAAAGTTCCCATTTCCATCAGAATTTAACTTTGACTCTTGAGTCCATCAAATCTCATATGATTATCATCAACATACCATCTACCCAGGAATCAATTTAACTGTCTATACCTATCTCTAGTTTTCAATTGAACAGACTCGAGTATATTGAAATTTTAAGCCACTATTCCACTTAAAAGCTTCGTGTGTGGAACAAGTACAGCGTTTCGAATCAAATGTTTGAAGATCCTATCACAAAGAACTTAAGTAGGCTGCAGAATAACTTTTGTATGAAGAACTAGAAACCACAGGTTGAAAATGTTTGAATCAAAACATCAGCACCAACATCGCAAACAAAGCACATACTAGAGTGACTGAAGAATAATATAAAATGAACAAAATTGAAAACAAATTCCACCCAATGATAAAATTATTCCAATGATGTTTTTCTTCAGGAACTTTTCAGATTAAAGAAATCAGTTGAGTAATTTCAATTATGCAAAAACTAACCCCGTCATTTCCTTTCTTCTTGGATTGAAACCGCTCAGAAATTAATTCATTTTTCAGCTTGCGCTTAGATGAAGAAGTCTTCCCTGGAGATTCTGAGGCCACTGAAGCGTCTTCTTTGCCATTAGATTGATCAGGTGCATGAGGAAGCTTTCTACGTTTTCGTTTCAAGACCCAATTCCTGTTTATCATTTTACTAGGCGACGAACTGTCTTCCTTCATCTTTTAGACCTGGGTCTTACATACATAGTCAAGAGTGAGAGCAAGCACGTCAGGAACCATGAATTAGTCAACACATCAGAGGTTCTACATGCAAAAACGTCACAAAACTTATTTAATTAGGTGTTTGAAGCAAACACAAAACTATCGAGGATAATGGATGCAAGTGACCTACCAGAATAATAGTTAGATTTGGTAGGGCTAAGCAAATTGGAATTCCTAAAAATGAAATCTTTATCAGCTACCACGGTCCACAGTGACGGCTCTCAAATAACTCAACCTCAGCACCTGGTACAAAAGCATAAGTCACTTGAATATGATATTGGATTAACAGTTATAAGGTACATTGCCGAACACCAACTCCGTAGCAGAATGAGATAACAAGATAATCTTAACACGCCGAGAAAACTAGCATATATACTGCAACATTACTGCAAAACCAACACACTACAGACCTGACAATCGAACAATTTAACCATCTTTTCCAATCTACCACTTTCAAATGCCCAATGCAATCTACCAAAACAATGATAAAATTAACAATCCAATCAGCAAAAACTTAAACATGCAAACACATTCAGCTGCAGCTAAACACAAAACCCCATTTCAACACCTACTAATAATTTATTACACAATCTAGATTCTACAAAAACCAAGATTCCACTAAACAAGAACACCCCACCATTTTCCACTGCAATCAAAGCTCAAATTACACAATCTTTCGATAATCAAACAAAACCCACATCAAACCACCAAAAAAACACACATGGGCAAGTTTCAACTCACATAAATTCAAAAAACCCAGAACAAACAAACAAAAAATGAGCAAAAACAGAGAAATAAAGACTGCCCAGGTAAATTAAGAAGCTTACCAATCAAGTAATGGATCAAAAACCCAAGAAACAGAGCAGCAGCATGAGGCAGCTGAATTGGGAGGCTGGGGAGGTGGGGGGGAAGAAGAGGCTTAGGGCACGGAAGGCAGGCTGTGGGGAGATACGAGGAGGAGAGAGAAAGCGAATGGGTGACAAAGGAAATAAATAGGGAGAGAGGAAAGAGAGAGTTTTTGGTTTTTCCAATCTTACTCATTTATCCTTTTTTAAATATTTTTTTCTAGAGAGAGAAAGCATACAAATACGGATTCGCCAGGGTCATAGGAACGGGGTTACAATCTGACATGGCAGGAGAGAGATAGAGAGAGAGAAGTGGGTACTTTCTCTCTCCTCTTCTCACCTTGTTCTTGCTTTTTGGTTTTGTGATGTTGTTGTTGTAGTAGCTTATTTGATGTAGTTGAAAGCTCAACACCAATCAGAACTCGCCACGTGTCGGGTCCAGAGGCTCTTCAGCACTTTCTCTCACTGCCCATATTCCTCTCTTTTTCTCTCTCTTTCCCTCATCGTCTCCCTCTGCTTTTTTCCTTCTCTTCCATCCAACCTCCACAACTCACTCTCTTTTGTGTTATGTAATTTTTGTTAGAGAGAGAGAGAGAGAGAGAGTGAGAGAGTGCTTACAGAAAGGGAGAGGGATAGGAAGTGTGTGTTTCTTTGTTTCTCCTTCCTTTATCTTCCTTCATTTGCAGCTTTCTTCTGCTTCATACTTTTTCTTTTTTGCTCAGCTTTTTGTTTCTATTTTTTCCAATCAACTCCATAGCATGTTTCTATTAGCTAGGATTTGGTTATGCTTGTTTGAGGAGCTAAACAATATTAGGGATGTTGAACCAAAAGAGACAAGTTTTAGGGATGAATATTTCTGTGCAATGGAATTGGACTGTGAAATATAGATTCTTTCCCTTTCTGTTTTCAAATCACAGCTCGCAGTTTTCAAATTACTTTTGAAATTCAGTGTGAAAGTGTGGTTATGTTAGTTGTCGGGTCATATTTATGTTGTGCGTCACTTGTATTGGTTTCGGAGCGCTGGAATATGCTAAAAAAAGCGCGAATAATTCAAAACTTACAGTTAACGAGACTTGTCGTTATTGTCATTTGTCGAACGTTTATCTTTTTTTTCCTTTTTATAATGACAAGAGCGACCTTTATAGCGTCAAACACATAGTAATAATAAAAACTTAAATTCGTTATATTTATCTTCATTCTCATTCTACTATTTTTTTTTTCCACAAATGGATCTGAGCGGGTATGATGATTAATTATTAAATAAATCAAGATTTTACCATTATTGCAATTTTAGAGAAACGCGAAACCGAAACGTATGGGGTTGCTTTTGTAACTGGATAACCAGCACTGAAAACCGTATTTACATTGAATGGTATGGTGTTTTGATGAACCCTTACTAAATTTGTATCGCTATCTTTCTTAAGCTACAATAGATCATTGGAAAGGAGCAATGGCTTCCACCACGACGCTTCCCTCAGGCACGGCCAAGGGGTCGTCCACTTAAGAATATTGTTTTCACATCCATTTGGTACAGAAACAAGTTAAAATGAGTTTTGTTTAGTCAGTTCTGCAAATGATGCTATTGAAAAAACAAAAAAGATGAGTACTCAAAATATCAAAAGCTTATTGGATGTTAAAAGTACACAATTTATTCTATCATATTTAAACACTCTACAACTAATTACATATTTACGAATTAAATGTCACGCAATTTTTGATACGACGAAGAAAAAAGGACGAAACCAAAGGAAAACAGGTTTTGGGATTTTCAATTTTTTATAACCAGTTCGTGTCATTTATCTTAAACATTTGTGTCTCTCTGTTAAACCTCAAACATAGGTAGAATTCAAAGACAATTTAATTTATTAAAATTCATCTTCACCAAACCATTGTCATTTTCATAGAAAATCACTAAACTACCTTTCCTTATTGTTTCAATTAAAATTTAATTTGTTACAATTTTGAAGGACATTATAAGGATTAGACAAATGGTGAGGGATATCAACTAAAAATAGACAAGTTTAGGGATGAATATTGTATCCAATGGAATTGGACGTTCAAATGTTATGCTGGTGGTTGTTTACTGATATGGATACAAATCCAATTATAGATACTTTCCTGTTTGGTTTTCAAATCACATCTTTCGTTGTCTAACTATTTTTGAGATTCGGTATAGAATTGCATTTACGTTATACATTGGATCGTATTTATGATGTATGTTGTTTATATCTGTTTCGAATTGCGGGAGTACACTAAAAGAGCGTGAATAATACAAAAACTTAATGCGAACAAGACTTGTCATGATTGTAGAGTTAAGTATCTTTTTTTTCTTTTTATAATGATAAAAGCGATTGTTATAGCGTAACATAAACGCAAAGTATTACCATAAACTAACTAAATTTGTACTCCACTATTTTTTTAAAGCTAATCATATCTAATTCTTGTCATTATCTTAAGCATGTCTATCTTTCTTTCAAACCTCAGACATAAATAGAATTTCAACAACTATTAATTTATAGAAATTCATCTTCACCACACCATTGTCATTTTTATAAAAAATCGTTAAATTATTTTTCCAGTTGAAATTTTTCTTATTAAACATTAGTTGGTTACAAATCTAATTTAATTAGAAATAACTCATCTCATCCTGCTTGCTAAACGGAGCCTTAAGGATGAAATGTTGTGTCCAATAGATTGGACTTTCAAATATACTATATGCAGTTCGTTTACTGATATGGATACAAATCGAATTATAGATATTTTTCTTTTTTTTTTGTTTTTTTTTTTCTTGTTTTTCAAACCATCTCTCCCAATAAAGTGTTTGTGAAATACTTGTTACATTGTCCGGAAGGATCACATCATCGATGAACCTCTCTCTTGCTTACAAGAATCGAAAACCAAATGATGGGGACAGCCTCGAGAATATGCAGGAAGAGGTAAGACTAATGTTGCAACTTCTAGCAGGATCAGGATCCTCTCCTGATCTAAGGATGAGGATCCTCCTGATTAAGAAATATGGATCGTTGGATGAAAATCCAACGGTTATAATTATTGTAACTTTAAAGGGACTCCCTGTTTGTAACCGTTGGATTTTCATCCAACAGCCCACATTCCTTGGTCAGGAGGATCCTCATCCTTAAATCAGGAGAGGATCCTGATAACCCTGAGTGATTGCCAACAACATGAAATTTGTTGTATGTGCTATAGAACAGATTCATTTCTCCTTTATGTGGTAAATTTTCTCTTAATTTCACGTAACTAGAGAACATTTAAACGTAAAACTTACATCAAACCACTAATCGTTTTGTCATTTGGGGCCTCGGGCATGGCCTTGTACTAGTTAGAAGGAGATCATGATCTCATATTTAGACGTTTTACAATGGCTTAATCACTGCATGTTCGTACTAAACCACTTCTGTTGTAAACATTTAATAGGGCACTACCACATTGCTCGTGGATTGGAGAAGTGGGGTGGCCTTCATAATGTTTCACGTCTTATGTCGCTCGAGGCGAGGCACCCTAATCGACAGCCGAACGACGGGCTCAAGGCAAAGTCACCATCTGGTCTCTTTCTAAATAAAAAAAAATAAAAATCGTGCGGTGAATACTTGTTCTGCAGAAGTTTTTGAAAAAAGAAGGAACAGTTTTGAAGGGTGAGAAGGGGATTAGGATCCTCTCCTGATCCTTGTATCAGGATCCTCATGATCAAGGAGTGTAGACCGTTGGATGAAAATCTAATGGCTACAAACAGGAGGTCATTTTAAAGTTATAATAGTTATAGCCGTTAAATTTTCATCCAACGATCCACAATTCTTGATCATGAGGATTCTCATCCTTAGATCAGGAGAGGATCTTGATCTGGTGAGAAGGAACAATTTGACAAGATGGCAGTTGCTTGGCAATTTACCTATTTACCTTATTAAAGTTTTGGACCCCTCCAAGCATAAGTCCATGGAATTTTTAGAAACAATTATTAAAAAGTTGACGATTCAAAGTCACTCCTAATAATGTGAGCTTTAAAATTGTTTCTAAAGTTGTTAAAAGCATTTTTTGTGAAAATATTTTAAAATTAATATTTAGTAAAAATATAAGTAGATTATTGAAAAACACTTAAGTACTTTCTAAAAAAAACACATAATTTCTCTAAAAACGCTGTCAATCATTTTAAAAAAAATCTCCCTAACTACGATCAAACCAATAATTATAAGGAATCATATTTTCTATTTACTTGAAATTAAATCTCTCCTATTCGATTGACTTAGACGACAAATTACGTGAAACAAAACATCTTGATTAGAATATTTGACAAAAGAGAGAGAATTCCATTTTAATCCACCCAATTTTGGGTCATATGTGACAGCATCACCTCCACCTCCAACTGGCCAGTGTAAGACACGCGGCCATAAATAGCGTGGGATATCCTCTCCAATACCTTCTAAACACAGCATTTTTTATGTTTTTTTTTCTTCTAATTTCTTAATTAATTTTTTTTTCTGCCGTGAAAAATAAAAAATCGTTACCGTGCTGAAAAGGCCAAAAATTCAGAGACTCCCAAATCTTCTTAAAAAAACGAAGAAAGAGAAGAAAAAAAGTAAAAAAAAGGTGGGGGTCTTTGAGCTCACAGAGAGTTCAACTATCATCATCAGAGAGGTCATCACAGTGAGTGTTCATGCTCTTGATTGATCGATTGTTAGTGTTTTCGGAGGTAATCATTATGTTAATCTTTTTTATTTTTTATTTTACGGATCGTTTTTGTGTTTGTTTATCCGATTATTGTACTGATTTCAGCTGGATCGCTGGAAAGTTTTGTCTTTTTTTTTGTTAATTTGGGGATTAGATGTTTTTGAGCTAATTTTGTGTGAGGTTGACTGGGTCGGAGTTCGTTTGCTGAATCTTACGTTTTTGTTGTGAAATTTGGTTTTTTGTTTTTTATAGTGTTTCTGTGTACTCGATTAGGGTTTTTTTGGGATTGATTTTGTGGGTTTAGGATCTTGAGTCTGAGTTGTATGCCGGCACCCTTCAAGTTTATCTGAAGTCTCCTCTAGTCCTTTCTACTCCAATAATTTTCTGATTTAGGTCTGGATTGCAGTAAGGTGATTCTGAAAAAAAGCTGGCATAAATAAAAAACTGGGTAACTGTTTTTGTGGTTGGTAAACATTCAACTTCAGTTTTTTTTTCCACAGATTTGGATAAAAAAAGCAAAAAACAAAAAGCTGCAAAACCCAGCTTTAAAAAATCGGTTTTTTTCACATCTGTTTTACATAAAAGTTTACCAAACACTATAATACTGTTTTTTTTTTCAAAAGCACTTTTATAAAATAAGTTTACCAAATATTCTGCTGCTGTATTTCCCAGCTGTATATTCTCACAGCACAGCAGAAGCAGCTTTTATTCAAAGCACAGCAATACCAAACCAGCCCTTAGTCACTTTCACAAATTGTTTAATTTTTCATGGATTGTCTAATTTTATTAAGATTGTGTTACTGACATTGATTGTAGCGAAACCGAACAGTTTTAGCCGTGTGCTTGTTGGACATCTATATACTGTTTTCATGATGAGAAAATGATTGAAAAAGATGAGGAGATGGATACAGACCGCGTTGATCATCGATGGTGCAGTCTCAAGTTGATCAAAACAATGTGAATTGTAGGATGTCATTAGGGATGTTGATTTATTGCCTGTTTGGTCACTGAGAATAGGAAGGAAAATAGGACTTAAAGCTAATATTTTTGTAATTTTAAATAATTGAGCAATTCGGAAATCCTATAAGCGACTTTTTCCAACTTTTGTATTGTTTATACAGAAGCCTGTTTCAAAGTGTATGAAGGTGCTTCAAGTATGTATGTGCATATCATTGCATTTCTGAAAATTGGATAATTATGAGAGGTTGTTAGGTTAAAATATTTGATTATTTAGTTTGCACTTTAGACTTGGATTATCTTTGTATGGATTTACTCTTTTTGTTTCACAAATCATAGATGCATTTGAATTCAAATTTGTAATTTGTTTAAGGTGCTTCAAGTTTCTGACTGCTGTCTTGTTGGAGAAGGTTGTTTTTTTATATGTTGCTCATGCTTAGAAATTATCCTTACGGCTAACTGATCTAGTGATGCCTCATTTACTCACTTAGGTTACTAGTTAAGGATTGCTTTGTTGGAAGAATGTTTGCTGTTGGCAAAGATTGCAGTTGGCTACCCATGGGAACATGCCCACGTGTCATATTTACTGTTTTTTTGCTTGGATGTTTATCCATGTGAATTTAGACTGCATGGATAGAAATCTGGGTAAAGGTACAATGGATCAACATAAAAACTATGAGCGTGTACGCTACAATAATGTTGAAGCTAGAAATGACGGAAATGGGTCATCCAATCAAAGGTACTTCCAGGATCCATCAAGTAATGCGAATACTAACATGCGACCTCCAGATTACAATGTTGCTGTTGGAGCCAGGCCTGTGTTAAATTACTCCATTCAGACTGGTGAGGAATTTGCTCTTGAATTCATGAGGGAAAGGGTGAACCCAAGGCAACATTTAGCTTCTGGGGATCCTAATAGTGCTCCTAACTATATGGATCTAAAAGGCATACTGGGAATTAGCCATACAGGTTCAGAAAGTGGGTCTGATACTTCGTTGCTGAACTCGGTAGATAAAGGGCGTGCCCAGGAATCCGAAAGAAAGGCATCTTATGCACATGAAGATAAGAGTTACTATGATTCGGTACAATTACCACAAACCTCATCAAGAAATGACAGCAATCGAGGACTTCATTATGCTTCTTCAGGAATGTCTGATAGCTCAGTGAGGAAAGTGAAGTTTCTCTGCAGCTTTGGTGGTAAAATTTTGCCGCGTCCCAGTGATGGAAGGCTTAGATACGTTGGAGGTGAAACACGTATTATACGGTTAAACAGGGATATCTTTTGGCAGGATCTGATGCAGAAAATGTTGACAATTTATGATGAAACTCGGGCAATAAAGTATCAGCTTCCTGGTGAGGATCTCGATGCACTTGTTTCTGTTTCATGTGATGAAGATCTGCAAAACATGATGGATGAATGCAATGTGCTACAAGACGGGGGATCACAGAAACCTAGGATGTTCCTGTTTTCTCATGTTGATTTGGAGGACTCTCAGTATGGTGTAGAAAGCATGGACGGTGATTCTGAGGTTCAGTATGTAGTTGCTGTAAATGGTATTGACTTAGGTTCAAGAAAGAATTCTATTGCTTTGGCAAGTTCTTCAGGCAACAACTTGGAAGAGTTACTCAGTCTAAATGTTGTAAGGGAGAGCACTCGAGCAGTGCCTGATACAGCTAGTGCTGGCGCAGCACCCTCAGCACCAAATGTGGCTTCCGCTAATCAATCTTCTCAATCAGTACTTCCAGGTTCTTCAAGGGCTTATGAATCCAATTCACAACCATACCAGGGGCAGAAGGTGCATAGTGTGGAAGCCAGACAGCATCCAGTGTCAACTTTCCACCCTGTCCCTGGGAAAGATGGTCTGACTCATGTGCCTTCATTGGTTCCATTGCAATATGATTCTGGTTCTCACCCTTCTCACTATGCAACACCTGGAGGAAATATAGATTCAATGCCTGTATACGGTCAATCCACTCAACAGGGGGGATTGATTGAAGAGCAGCTATATGGTGGCATGCATGGGCAAGGTTCAGAATTGCCCATAAAGGAGATGAAATTGAAAAGAAACAGCTCTGCACAAAAGATAAATGAACCTGAGAAAATTCGATCCTCAGAGAAGGAAGCTCCACCAAAGGAAGCAAGAATGAAGAGAGAGAGCTCTCTCCAGAAGATAAATGAAAGCAATAAGCCTAGGAATTTAGTAAATGACAACACTGTTTCTCTACCTCCATCTGACAGTTCAGTTCCCAATCATATTTCTAGGGATGAAGTTTCAGTTGCCAATTCAGCTGCAGAGACAGGGTCACCTTTGTTGGCTACAAGAAGCAGCAAAAAGCTCCAGGAACCTCGACAAAATCCAATGACCTCTGAAGATGTAAATGATGGGAAGAAGATCAATGAAGATGACCGATTTGACACGGCCAGTGGACTGTCTAATCCTGGATACGGTGGCTCTGAGGTTGATTCTAGATATGGTGGCTCTGAGGTTGATTCTATGGACTTTAGCTACCTTGACCCGCCTGTGGCTCCTCAGCGTGTCTATCATTCTGAGCGGATCCCCAGGGAACAAGCAGAATTGAACCGTTTATCAAAATCTGGTGATTCTTATGGTTCCCAGTTTATGGTAACTCAAGCACAGTCAGATCACTCACTACCAATCACGGACTCTTTGGATAAATTGCATGGTGAGAATGTCCCCTTGCAGTCTGAGCAGTCTGTGCAGCCTGGCTTACCTTCAAAACTATTGCACGTTGAAGATGGACTGGCACAATTTGGAAAGTATAAAGAATTTGCTGAAAATATTAGTAAAATGAGTTCTGATGCTTATCATGAGGGGCTTGAGTCAAAGGTACAAAAATCGGATCAGGAAATGGGCCGGCCAAAAGATAACTACAAAGACCCCAGTAACAAAGATAAAGAAGCGGCAGTGCTGACTCAACAAACTGCTGATCCGGAAACATTTGGGAAGCTTACACATGATTCTGCTTCAGTTCCACCAGAATTTAAATGGTCTGAGATTGCTGGCGGTAAGGACAATGAGAATCATGCCAAGGGTCATGGACAACCATTGGCTAGGGCAGAGAACCCCAGAGGTGTTGCTCATGGGGAGTCTGCTGCTGGTGCTGGCACTCCTGAGCAGGGAGACATTCTCATTGATATTAATGACCGCTTTCCGCGTGATTTCCTGTCTGATATATTTTCCAAAGCTACAATCTCAGGGGATCTTTCTGACCTTCCTCCACTTCCTGGCGATGGTACTGGCTTGAGCTTGAACATGGAGAATCCCGAGCCTAAGCATTGGTCATATTTCCGAAATTTGGCTCAGAATGAATTTGTAAGAAAAGATGTTTCCCTTATGGATCAGGACCATCTGGGTTTCTCATCCCCACCGACCGATATTGGAGCAGAGACTCCAGTAGATTACAGCTTTCCACCTTTGAAGTCTGATGGAGTTGTTTTTGGTCACACTGACTCCCAAATAAATTTTGATGAAGATATTCGGCAAGGGTTGCCTGGTGTAGCTGGGCCAAATGCCGTGAATTTAGGTTCAGTTTACAATCATACGCCACTCAAGGGAATTGAAAGTGAGCAGCTGGATGGGGTAAATCATGGAGTAAGAGAATCAGAGTATGAGGTATTTCTGCTGTATCTTTTACTAGTAAATCAGACTGTTCTCAACTTATCATATTGATTGCCTCTGACCAATTTTCGATTGCTCTTTCTTGCAGAATGGTGAGCTAAATGTTCAGAACACAGGTGTACCTCTTGTCGATCTTTCTCTGGAAGAATTTGATATTACTACTTTGCAGGTATGATAGTTTATTTATTACAATTTCTATCTGCATTACGGAGGCGTTAACTAGTGCTCTTCTCTGTAACCTATCAATAAACTATATGGATCTGTTTTTCTTTTCTTTCTGTTCTTCCAAGCATAAGAATTTTTGGTATTCTTGTTCAATTAAAGTCAAGGAATTATTTGAGTAAAACTAGTAGTACTTGGGTTGCATTTGGAAGCAAAATTTTACCTTTCCATCATAGAATTCTGCCTGCACAGCCTGCTTATTAGCGGTGTTGCCACTCCCACCATGTTCCTTTTCTGTAATTCTGTGTTATGGAAACCACCAATCACTCGAACATCAGAATATATGGTATCATACTTCCCTAACTACCATGGCACTGCCATTACTAACTTACAGTTTAATCTCTTCATACCATTTCTGGCATCTTGCCAACTCTTATTTTACAACTGTTAAACCTAAATGACTTCCCAATAGACTATCTTGCATCCAAGCTCTGCCTTGTGTGTATGCTACATGAATCCTGGTTATTTTTTTACTTTGATTTGTTTAGTAGAAGCTTCATTTTGATGCTAATATCAAACATCCCAACTTTTGCACAGCAAAATTTGTTGATGGAACATCTTGCCATTTTCATTATGTAGTGTCAGACATAAGTTTATTCCTAATTGTTATCATCCGTACCTTCTTCAGTTGATGCAAATTGGAGATGTTTGAAGTCTGTTGATTCTCTTGTTGGCCATGTATGTATTTCATTGCAGATCATAGAGAATGAAGATCTTGAAGAGCTTAGGGAATTGGGTTCTGGCACATTTGGAACTGTTTATCATGGAAAGTGGAGGGGAACAGATGTGGCCATTAAACGAATAAAAAAGAGCTGTTTCACGGGGCGTTCATCAGAGCAAGAAAGACTGGTGAGTAGAACACAGAGTTTTCTTGTTCAATAGTTCACTAAGCTAGAGGTTAGAGTGAGTCATGTCAGGTGAATATGTTTTTCCAGTCCAAGGTGAAGAATATTTATATTGTGATACTAAGCAAGTTGGAATCGAAGGCTATAAACAATCCATCGATTCAAATTTAGATGGCTGTGATCCCTCCATCGTCTAGTCTGGTAGTGATCGTTATTTCAGATATTTACTGTAACCTCTCATGGCTGGTGGAGGGTGGCATTCACCTACAGCATTGTGCTCATTAACTTGTCATTGTGTGACATATCAATAACAATAACCATTGATCCTCTTCCTTCTCTCTCTCTCTCCCCCCCCCCCCCCCCCCCCCCCCAAAAAAAAAAAAAATCTGGTTCAGACTAATGAGTTCTGGCGCGAAGCTGAAATTCTTTCGAAGCTTCACCATCCGAATGTGGTGGCGTTTTATGGTGTTGTTCAGAATGGACCAGGAGGAACACTAGCCACGGTGACAGAGTTCATGGTGAATGGCTCACTGAGGCATGTTTTACTTAGCAAGGAAAGGTAACATCGCTCTCTTTAGTTATGTCAATGATGTAAACCTTAGCAGTGTCCAGGCACTCCAACCTTCACCTTATGTTGGTTTTATGAACTCCCAGACATCTTGATCGTCGTAAGCGGCTCATTATTGCGATGGATGCAGCATTTGGAATGGAATACCTACATTCAAAAAACATAGTGCACTTTGATTTGAAATGCGACAATTTACTTGTAAATTTGAAAGACCCTCAACGACCCATTTGCAAGGTATTTGTATAATTCTTCTTGTCTATATAAGATTTTATACTTGAGCAGGAATTCATGATAGAATCTTGCTTTTATATGGGCCTTTTTTATCGTCCTTTCTTCATTGCCAAACAGTTATTATGTTCCAAATCAAACATCGTATTTAGCAGAGAATTATGTAATTTGCAGGTAGGAGACTTTGGCTTGTCAAAAATCAAAAGAAACACCTTGGTTACTGGTGGTGTTAGGGGAACCCTACCATGGATGGCTCCGGAGCTTCTTAATGGTAGCAGCAGTAAGGTTTCTGAAAAGGTATGATGCTACAATTCATATCTAATGCTTACTGGCAGAAAAAGAATGTTACTGCCGCACAGTTTCTGCTGATTATTTTTTTCCCCACACGTTGATGCGATGTCATAGAGCCACTTTATGCCTGTTGACAGGTTGATGTATTCTCCTTTGGTATTGTCTTATGGGAGATTCTAACTGGTGAGGAGCCTTATGCCAACATGCATTACGGAGCAATCATAGGTGCGTACTAAGCTCTCTCCTCACGATGTCTAACTGGGCTTCAGTCCGATATTCAAGCACATCTAATATCTTGTTAATTAGTCCTGCTGGCTTTGCATGTGTCATTGCTCACCTGCTGACTTTTTGTGTATGGAGTCGAGAATAGAGACAGAAACCGGAAATTGTACTGACACTTTGTTGCTTGCAGGAGGCATTGTGAACAACACATTGAGGCCACATGTGCCACCCTATTGTGATCCTGAATGGGAGTTGCTGATGGAGCAATGCTGGGCCGCCGATCCTGTTGCTCGCCCATCGTTTACCGAAATAACCAAACGCTTGCAGGTGATGACTGCAGCTTGCCGACCTACCAAACCACAGGTTCAACCACAGAACCAGGTCCCCAAGTAGCAGGGTTCCACGATGATCCCCTCGTTCAATCTTGGCTTAGCACGAGAGCCGATTACAAGAAATTATTTATACTCCGTATAGGTTGTGTGTATTATATGACGACTGGGGAGAAGAAGGGCTCCCAGTGTAATTGTGGAACGAACTTTTTTACAGAACGGAATGATTGTGTATTTAGGTGCATAAAAGGGAAGAACTGGGTTTTTATGTAAATCTTTTATTTGTGTTCATAGTGATGCACGAACTTTTATTTTTCAAATTTCAATGAAATGAATGAAAAAAAAAAAAAAAAAAGCTGTGAAAGGCAATTGTTTCATGATCATTTGCTCGTCTATTTTATTACATTCTGAAACGTCTACCAAACAAAAACGTGTGTTAAAATGTATGTTAAAAACGTGTCTCCATCCTAATCCATATATATGTATTTATACTGTGTGTATATATATATATATATGTATATGTGACAAAAAATATATATATTTATGTTGTATATATTTATATATACCATCTTTGGAATGTGGAATCTGCTAGTCGAAGAGAGAAAATAGTGAATTCTCACATTTACATTTTTATAGGAGAGGAACTAATATCTACGTCTCCCGAAGTTATAAGGTGGAATTTAAACGTGATTGTTACATCTCAAATTTGCATCTTAATCAGACCATAATTGTGTTGTAAAATATATTCTCAACCAGACAAAAAAAGAGTGAAAATTTCCTACTCCAACATTTTAACATGTTAAAGTTGCGAGATTTTGTGCTCTAATTCACCTCTTTGAAAATCATCTTTCTCAAAATCGCTTGTATGAAAAACATAAAAAGCAAATCACTTTCATGTCATCAATAAATACGTGTGGACTTGGGGACATCAGGCAAGCGTTGTGTGAAACTATTGTCTCCATGTTAGGATTAGGGTTTTGAAGGATATGCTAGGTCATGACATCCCTTGGCGCCACGCCAACCAATTTTAACTTGAATCATCATTTGTTTAAGAGTAATCCATCTCTTAATTCTTTCTTTTCTTTTTTTTTTTGAGGTTAAACTTGAGTAAGGTTTCGTTGTTGAGAATTAAGTTCGAAAAAACTTATACGTGAGAGTAGAAAAAAAAAAATCAACCAGCTTCTGATTTCTTGATAGTTGTCTCCACTTAGTTGAAGGAGATATCAAGTTCGTTTCACTAAATGCAATGACGGTATACATTTTTCTTGAATCTAATAGCTAGGTACGGCTAATCCTATTGTGGTAACGTAACTTTGATGTGAGTTCGTTATGTCGTTATATTTCGACACTTTGTAACTGGTATTATAATAGAATGTTAATCATGTTTAAACATGTGAGATGAAGTTTGAAATGTAAATTTCTTTTGTACCCAGCGAAGTTGACACCTTTTGTTTTTGCCAACAAAACTGAGACTACATAGCAAACGTGACGAAAATGGAACTAAATCATACTTTTTATTTCATATTTATGCCCTTGTATAAATGCGATATTGACAACCATGTCCATTCATCAAGAGATAATGAAGCTCTTTGACAGTAGCAGGCTAGCAGTTGCGATACTTGCGTATTCTCCTTGTCAAAATTGCTAAAGGTAAGCTCTTTCTCTCACGTACGCATAACTGTGAATTGGGTTGTTGTTTTGCTGGTGCACGCCGAGTGTTTGAGGGAAAGCCTCAGAGAACACATCAACTTTCAAATGTCAATTTAATGGTTTCTGTAGATTCAACAGTCCCAAAGAAATCTACCACCGAGTGAGATGGGCTGAAATTTGGGATTTGGGGTGTGAAAGTAACAACATTTGCATTAACTTTGGCCTCCAACCAAGAACAAATACGCTTTGCATTCGGGTGGGGAATGGGGATGTTGTTCCAACCCGGAAAGGATTTCCCTTTTGGTAGAATACCCATGTTTTTTCTTTAGCAATTTTTCTCAAGTGGTATATATTGGCTTTGTAATGGAAGCATGATTATTGGGTACTTGGTTTTACCAGGAGACTGCAGAATCATATTAATATTAGTGAGATGTTCCAGAATCCTCCAACAGTATCCTCTGCTTTGTGGGATCCATATCCGAAAGGTGATCGTGTTCTTCTTTCATCTTTGATCTTCAAGGTTGGATTTTTAGAAACAAGTTTATGGATAACATGTGTTGGTTTTGCTCAACTTTTGTAGGTGCTTGCCTCTGTTCCGTTGAGTTCAAGTTGCCTCAGTTATCAGCTGCAAGATCGTACAGTCTTGGGTTGAAGGTTTGATTCTCTCTTTTATTTTCCTTTTGGTCTTGTTTGTTTGTTGCTTTTTGTGGAACTGTACTACAAATATGCATAATAGATCTGGCGAATTATTATGCACAAATTCTTATCCGGCCAGTTCTGCCATGACCTTTTTTGTTTGAGCTTGGTTTGTACAAGTTCATACGAGAGCGAGCAAACCACTCCTATTCATAATTATGAAAAATTTGAGGGCTATTATTTATATATTATATTATTAGACCTACACAATGTTGGTTCCGATTTATCGGTCATCTAAGTGGTATATAACTTAGTCAACGGTACCAGTCAGTTTTGCATCTGCAGGCAGCCATTGATAAATTCATCCAAAAGTCTTTAAAATTCATTGTGGACTATGGAAATACCTTGAAACCTCTGAGTAGTAAATTACTAATATGATTTTAGGAGATTAGCATTTGTCCTTCACCATGATGTGGTGCACTGCAGCAAAAACTGGAGTGTAGTGGATGATCATATGTAACTCCTGGAAATGGTTAAAAATGTTTGTGTACTGTACATTTTTCATGGAATTTTCTTGGGGTTCACAACTTCGTGATTCTCATTTATGGTAGTTGGTAACCCACAACCGAGTTATAATTGTTTCCTTGTGAGTCTGCAATTGAAATTTACAACAAAGTAGATACATATAAAGTACAAGGGATCAAAAAATTACAATAATATTGCTCCTGGAGTAGCTGGAGTGGTTGAGAAACATTGTGCTTCTCGCAACTAATTAATTAGTTTCTTACATGTGTCCTAGTGGTATTACTGTGATTTGAGAATGTCTGAGGCTAATTTTACTGTAATTGATGACAGTACAGGTGCTTTGAGAATATCTTCTTATTTGTAACTAGATATTATACTCGTGAGTTCGAGTCTCATCCTTAAATCTCACACTGAACTTTTATTCAAATGCAGTTTGAGCATGGAAAACTTCATAAAGGAGGAAGTATATTTGGAACTATCTTTGCTGCCAGTAGGAAGACCAGAGTAGAACCAACTTCTAGGAAGCGAGAAGCATATCCCCAGAATGTGGATCTTCCACCTGTACTACCTAAGAATAAGAAGAAACCGTATCCTATTCCCTTAAAGAAGATCAAGCAGTTCGCAAAGGAGGACAAGAAACTTGCAGAATTGGGTATAGAGAAGCCCCTTGAACCTCCAAAAAATGGATTACTTGCCACTGATCTGATTCCTGTTGCTTGCCAAGTACTAGATTCCTGGAAAGTTTTAATTAAAGGCATTGCGCAGCTGTTGCACATCATTCCTGTATACGGATGCACGTAAGTATGCTTTATTTATATGGGTGTCCATCTTTCAGGTTGTATATAGCTTTGTACTAACCTTTTAACAATCTACTTGTCAAAAAAAAACTTTTAGCAATCTAGGTTTTAAATTGGAATATTAAATTGGTTTTGTTCTTTTACAGTGAATGCTCTGAGGTTCATGTAAGCCACCCTGGTCATCACATACAGGACTGTCTTGGTTCAACCAGTGCTAAACGCCGAAGCTTCCACTCCTGGATCAAGGGTTCCATCAATGATGTACTTGTACCCATCGAGGCATATCATCTCTTTGACCCTTTTGGTCGACGCATTAAGCATGAAACTAGATTTCAATACGACAGGATTCCAGCTGTTGTGGAGCTGTGCATCCAAGCTGGTGTTGAGATCCCTGAGTACCCTTCACGTCGAAGGACCAAACCCATCCGGATGATTGGAAGGAAAGTGATAGATCGAGGTGGATTGCTTGAGGAGCCTCAACCAGGGTGCTCTGCAGATCCATCTTCCCTTATTGATCTCGACACACATGGGGCTTGTGAGCGGTTTCCACCTCCACTGCCAGTGGATATTCCCAGGATTGCACAGGAGACAATGGACGCATATGAAACTGTTAGATTGGGGGTGACAAGGCTGATGAAGAAATACACTGTGAAGGCATGCGGGTATTGCTCCGAGGTTCACGTGGGACCTTGGGGTCACAATGCAAAGCTTTGTGGGGAATTCAAGCACCAATGGAGGGATGGGAAGCATGGCTGGCAGGATGCTAGCGTGGACGAGGTTTTCCCTCCAAATTATGTATGGCACGTCGAAGACCCCAAAGGGCCTCCACTGAAGGGCGGTGCACTCAAGAAGTTCTATGGGAAGGCTCCGGCAGTGGTAGAGGTTTGCTTGCAGGCAGGTGCACAGATCCCTGAGAAATATAAACCCATGATGAGGCTTGACATTGTAGTCCCTGAAAGTGAGGAGGCACAATTAGTTGCCTGAGGATTAAGTTCCTAATGAGTTGTATACGTACCTTGAGTTCTAAATATGCTAATACATGTATATGAACTTTTTTTTTGTTACATTTGGATGGTTTCGAACCCTGGACCTGTTCTAGACCTATCACATCACCCCCTCTTCATCACTTTGGGCATATTATTTCTTTGATTCTTTCATAGGTCTAGTCAGCCAAAATCCTCGTTTTGCATCCATGGTACAAAGTGTGTTTTTTTTATCAATGAGGAAGGGGAGTTCAAACTTTAAATCTGGTCCCACATCAATTTACTAATTAGCAAGTCAAATGAACATCAGATTGATTTTGACATTAATTTTCAACTCCGATTGTCACATTACAATAAATAAATACTAGAAAATGTGCTCGCGTTTTGCTGCGGGTTTTGAAACCATTATCCACAACATGCATGAATAATTTCCATAGAAAGTAACTAAAAAGATGGTCTAGTACCTAAGAACCAATGAAGTGAAACTCTGCTTGCTATATATGGATATGCATGCTATAAGAAACCATTCATTTGTAGATTGTATTGTGCCATCAATATTATACTCTTAGTTTCAAGTAATCAACCTACTACATGGGGGAAAAACACATAAAAGGAAAAGTAGAAAAGTAGAGACACAATACATAAGCATCCCATCGGAGTCCTACCTCTATTAGAATGATGGTACAAACATACCGTAAGAATAATATTTTTGGATATTTGGTGATTAACTTGGTTCGAATTAATGGACACTGAAAAAGAAACATGCATGCATGCATGACACACTATTATTGGTCCAATGATGCGTTTGCGTACGTACGAGTACTCTCATGTACCTATATATGCACACATTATATATATATGAGTAAACTGTCGATTTACCCTCTGAATTTTCACCTAACTTTCGATTTTCCCCCAGAACTTTGCTATTGGAAAATTAAGGACTCAAACTAATTTTTTTTAGCCGATTTGCCCCCCTACCGTTAGTTTTTCATATATTCCATCCATATTTTTGTTAAGTGAGATCATGTGCACAACATGTGAGGGTAGTTAAGTCATTTCACTCTTAAAAATGATTAAAAAGTTGAAAATAAATAAAAAAACAAAACTTTCCCTCTATTTTTTCCCGCTAATTCCTATCCTCAATTTTATTTTTCCTTCTCATTCCTATGCATGAGAAATGACATATGGTGTTATTGTCTTCATAAGTAGCTAAGTTAGTCTTTTTCTTGAAGCATGTACTACCATTTTTATTTTCTCTAACAAATTAATAATTTTCCAAATGCTCATGATGTTATTGTCTCCAAAGCAGTGCATTAATATAAGAAGCATGTTCATAATACTCATAAAAAATGCTCAAGATAATTACATACTTTTCATAATGTCATAATAATCCCAATACAATTCCACAAAATGATCTTTAAGAAGTTGGAAAACATAACACCCTCAACCTTACTCAGCCATAATGAAAATAGGTTTAGGTACAAGATTCCAACCAAACGAGGAAGGCCATGGAAAGTGTAGTTGATCTCCACGTGTCATGTGCGTTTCAAGCATAATGTTTGTGCTCTTGTTTTGATAACTAAAACCTTATTTTGCTTGTGTTTGGTTAAGTGGAATGCCCATATTTTGTAATCGAGATTCTATGGGTTATATACCTTATGGATGGTAAAATCTCTTATGTTTTCCAACTTCTTAAGGATCATTTTGTGGAATTGTATTGGGATTATTACGACATTATGAAAAATATGTAATTATCTTGAGCATTTTTTATGACTAATATGAACATGTTTCTTATATTAATACACTGCTTTGGAGACAATAACACCGTGAACATTTGTCAAATTATTAATTTGTTAGAGAAAATAAAAATGGTAGTATATGCTTCAAGAAAAAGACTAACTTAGCTACTTATGAAGACAATAACACCATATATCATTTCTCATGCATAGGAATGAGAGGGAAAAAAAAATTGAGTATAGGAATTAGCAGGAAAAAATAGAGGGAAAGTTTTGTTTTTTTATCTATATTTAGTTTTTTAATCATTTTTAAGAGTGAAATGATTTAACTACCCTCATATGTTGTGCACATGGTCTCACTTAACAGAAATATGGATGAAATATATGAAAAACTAACAGTAGGGGGCAAATCGGCTAAAAAGATTAGTTTGAGTCCTTAATTTTCCAATAGAAAAGTTCAGGGGGGAAATCGAAAGCTAGGTGAAAGTTCAGGGGGTAAATCGACAGTTTACTATATATAGAATTTCATCATCAAGGATGCCTGCGAGCTCCATTGGTTCTTTTATCAACTGTCAATAGACAAAATTGTAAGTTTCAAGTTAAGTTTTCAATAAAACTTATTTTCAAATATGTCTGCATCATTAATTTTAATTCATTATTTTCATTACGAAGAATATTTTCACCACCATTGACTTTGATTCTCTTACTTCTAGACAATTCATTGAGTTTCTCAAGTTCAAGGTAAACATCGATCGATCAATCATTTATTCAATTCTTTCTTTGTGTTTATGGCCTTTGGTTTGATATCTGCACACCTCCTCATCATAATGACTGTAGTCTTGATTGTTGTCCTCATATTTCTTCCATGTTCAATAGAAGGTAAGCTTCCGCCCCCATTTGGTATCAGAGCCAAGTGAGTGGTAATTGCATTAGCATCTTCTTAATCTGCAAGTCAGGTTCATTTTTCAGTCTTTAGATTTACGGTTTAACTTATCTATCGGTCCTCTAAGTTGTTTATTATACTCCCCAACCAAACAGTAAGGTGTGTTCCAAACAATAAGTCCTTGGAGAGGCATGAGCGGATCGCATGAGCGGGGAAGGAGTTTAGTAGATACACGAGGAAGGTGAATCAGTATAAGTTTTCTGTATTTTGATTGCTTGATTTGTGAACTTTATGAGTAGATTATTTAGATCTAATTCAATGGCTAGCACTAGCTCTAGATCTAGTTTAGGTGCAATACCAGACATTGTTAATTAAGAACAAAAACTTGATTTTCAAATTGATGATAATGTAGACTTTGGAGATTGGAATATCCCCAGAGTTTCAAGTAAAAATATTTACAAAAAGAAATGGTCAGTAGCCTCATTTAGAAGTGAACACCATATTAAAATTGTAGAAAAAGCTTATGCTCTTAGTAAAGAGCAAAAACTTGCCAATTGTTCTCTTCGGAACAAATTAAAACACATAGAAAAGGTGGTCATAATTACATCCATATTGGCTTAGTTCAAATAGCAATAAAACCATTAACGCATAGAGGCCTTAATACCTCTATTTTATTGTGTCTCTGAGATGCTAGATTCACTAACTTTAGTGATAGCATACTTGGAATGTTCGAATCCAGTCTTTATAATGGACCTATCCATTTTGATTGTTTCCCAGATCTCACCATAAGTCTTTCAGATCCACATATGCTGAAAGCACTCACTCTAAATATCAAAACTTTAGGATATCAGGTCCTTGAAGGAACACAGCCCTTGGCATTAATATAACGAGTGTACTACAAAGTCATTAGTACAAACATGAATTTCCAAGCTTTAACTAAGAGTCTTAGAGACCATACACTCTTAATCCAAACCAACGAAGAAAATGCAAATATTAAAGTTCCCAGAACCATTAGGTGGTCAGATATCAGTCTACCTTCAGATTGGTGTTTGATTAATGAAAGCAAGCCAGTAGCCATCCAAAACAGTCTAGTCAATTTAGACAACATAGAACAATATTTTGACGGAACTGTCAAAATCAATTTTGATCGTCCAGCCAGAAAATCATGTGAGTTTACCCATTTGCATAGATCATTTGCTCCTAGCAGAAATTCTTTTGCTGGATCCATGCCAAACGATAGGATGGGTCAAGATCAAGAGTTAATTAATTCATTAGCTAATAAGAAATTAAAATCAGTAGAAACCAGTTCATCTGTCACTCAGCAAGAGTTAATTAATGACTTAATTAATATCAAGCTAAAGTTAGTCGAAACGACTTCTCAAGTCACACATCCTAGGTACCAACCTTATACCCAGGATCAAGGAGAACAAACTTCTCCAACAGAATCTGATTTCGAAGCAGGTCAGACTAACCATCAACTTTTAGTTTTAAATAAACCTTTCAAAAGAAACAAGAAACGTCTCAGTGCTGATATTGAGGCTGAAGAGAATATTCCCAGAAGGAATATTTTCAGAAATAAATATAATCAAGATGAAAAATTGGAAATTTACCATAAATGGATTAATTTCATGGAAACCCACAGATTTGAAGTATTTTTCTTCGATTATGTTGGAAAGTATTACCAGTCTAAAAAGAAATTAAAGGTAATAACCAAAGAAAATTGGCTTAAAGAAGACAAGACTATTATCTCCTCCAGTCATCCTCCACAAGAAACAATTCTAATCACAATTGCCAATACGCAAATCTCAGCTACTCCTTGTAAACTTCCCAAGAAAGATGCAAAAGTAAAACTAGTCATTGAACAAAATAATTTCACCAATCAAAGTCTTCATACCATAGGAAAACAATTAGATAAAATTGAAACAAAAATTGATGAAATTTCCTAACCAAAATCCATAATCAGGGAAAAACCCTGGTTAATTTCCCAGAATCTTCTTCAAAGGCAATAGCCTTGAAGGCAACTTCCACAAGTCAAAAAATTGACCAAATGTTATCAGAATTAAAACAAGAAAAGACAATTCATGTCTTACAACATCCTGATGATTCTCAATTAGAAACATCTCCAACTTCCTCTGAATCAGAAGATGATTCAGATTCCATTCGAAAAGTTGAACAAGCTTTTCAAAACCTTGAACTTAAAATAATCACCAATAGGCAAGTCAACCCAACATCTCTTACCAAAAATTGGTATCCTAGGCCAACACCCCCGGATATCCAGTTTGAGGAAAGAAATATTCAAAACCAATTCTCAGTCTCTTATGATAAACTCTATGAATGGAATATAGATGGTTTGTCAGAACAAGAACTTCTTAATAAACTCCAACATATCTCTATGGTTGCTGATAGCTATATTACCAATCATAATCTTAGCCAATCACAAGTTGTCGACCTTTTGGTCATTGGA